AAAATATTTAAGCAATAGCTAAAATCTGTTCCAATAACATATTTTTATCCAACCCTTTATTTTTTTAAATATTTTTTTTATTTCCTTTCCTCCACACATTTTATTTCTCTTTTTTTTTGATTCAAAAAAAACAAATTTATGCGAAAATTTATTTTTTCTAATGAAGAAATATTTTTTAAATATTTTTTAATTTTTTAAATTAATTCTTTTATTAAATAAAAATAAATATGTAAATGTACATTTTAAATAAACTAGATTTTGTAAATTAATAATTAAACAAACAACCTTTATCAAGTTTTAAATCTATATTCCAAAACATACAAATTTCCTTTCGTTCTTTTATTAAAATTTTATAAATTTATTATACAAGAAAAATTTAAATAAAATTATATTTTTTAATAAAAGGAGGATCTCATTTTTATATACCCTCAGTAAAAATCCCTTTATTGTAGATTCTTCTAGGCGATGCCCCTATATACCAGGGCTGGGCTCATTTCGCAATTTCGCGTTTCGCATCTTTCGCATTCTCGCATTTTTTGGCGCGAAAAGTTTCGCGTTTCGCATTTCGCTTTTTGGCCCGAATGCGAAATTTGTTTCGCCTTTTTCGTTTAGTATTTTTTTATTCTTTAGAAATATTAATCATATTTGGCACGACGCGAACAAGACTCGTATATAAAGTTCATACTAAAAAATGAAAAATGGGGCCGGCCGGATTTTTTTGGATTAATCCGATTGGGATCCGGACTCAGGCAAAGCCGGCCTGGAGCCCGGTCCGGTGCCGGGCGCTAATAATAAGCAATCTTAAGAAGAGTCTTCTTAAAAAAATGCACTAATGCTTTTATTTTTCATCACAATCTCGTAATTTAGAATTTTGAATATGAATAAAATATTTTTAAAATTTTTAATTAATTTCGCTTTCGCTTTCGCATCTTTCGCATTCTCGCATTTTTTAGCGCGAAAAGTTTCGCATTTCGCATTTCGCTTTTTAATTTTTTTAAAAAAATTTCGCATTTCGCATTTCGCTTTTTATTTTTTGATTGCGCCCAGCCCTGCTATATACCTAGTTTTAAATATGCTTAAAAGCCCTGTATATAAAAAAATTAAAGGTATATAAAATTGGAAGTCCATTTATGTTTAATTCCACTTAGATTTTGTTTTACATAACCACCTTGAATGAGGTTTATTCTTTAATAGAAAGTATCGCTTAGACAGCTTCTCACCTAGCGGCCAAATAATTTTTACGTGGCCAAACAACTTTCTCTTCCATTAAAATGCGTCTATAAAATAGAGGGTGTATTTAATATTGGGAAGTATATAAAATTGAGGTCCTACTTTATTCCAAAAATTTTTTAAAATTATTTTCCCAAATTTTTTTTCTATTTTTTGTCACGATCATCTGCAATTTAATATTTAAAAAAGAAAAACAATTCTCCCCACTTCTCCCCTTTTTTTCGTTCGCGAAAAGCTTTTTCTTTTATTTATTTTAGCGTCTTAATTCAAATAATTTATATATTTATTATTGCTTCTTCTCTTATTTTCTATTGGCCATTTATTTGTGAAAATATCCATCAAACACTTGAAATGATTAGTTTAAAATAGTTTGCGCAGATCGAATTTAAGAGAAAAAATTATTTTAATGTTTAGTCAACCCTTACTTATAGACCCCTTTAGGTGTTGAAAAATAGTCTCTTATAGCGAGCTGTATCTTAGACTAGAGACTTAAAGAGTTCTTCCAACGGCTATCCGTATTATAAAGAACAACCCTTCAATTTTGATGACATTGGAAAATTTATCTTTTCTTTATTGATGTCTCTCATTGAACAAGAAAAATTAAGTAAAATTGAGGAGGAAAGAAACTGAACTTTCTGTACAAATAAAGAAAAAATAGAAAAATATGTATATCCTGCGAATATATGGGGGGGGGGGGGGTGTGGTAGGACCGAAAAGTACCTAGAGGTTTATCTTTTATTTGGGGTACCTCATAAGGAGGTTATCTTATAATGAGGTGTATCTTAGATAGAGGGTAACATTTAGACACCCCCCTCTTTATCCCAATTATTAACCAACTTTTAAATAAGGTGAGACTGAATTTAATATTATTTTTTCTTTAAAAATTTTTAGCTTAAGAAATCTAAATTGTCATAGTTTTCTAGAGAAAATAAGAAAAAAACAAATTGGCATCAATTTTCTCAGTTTTCTCAGTAATAAAAAATCAACTTATTCACTATAAATATTTTTTATAATTTTTCACAATATCTTTAAAGTAAAAAATTAAAAAAATATTTTTTTAATGTTTTATGCCGTAAATTCAGAAGACTCACCCCCCACCCCCTTTAGGCCATAAATTCCAAATTTTCTGGATATCCGGACTTTTCCGGTTCCGGATTTCGAACCAGCCAACCCTAACCCCCCCCCCCCCTAGTTGCCAACCTGACCCCCCTAGAACCCCCTAGTTGCCAACCTGACCCCCCTAGAACCCCCTAGTTGCCAACCTGACCCCCTAGAAATTTTTTTAGGGCTTGAGACAAAGAAATGGACCAAAAGACTATGGGGATTCAACTAGGGGGTTCTAGTTGCCAACCTGACCCCCCTAGAACCCCCTAGTTGAATCCCCATAGTCTTTTGGTCCATTTCTTTGTCTCAAGCCCTAAAAAAATTTTTGATCCTGGACATCTATGTATATTATAATTATTTTATTCTCATTTTACACTAAATTGAATATTAGTTTTGTTCATTTTTGTTTAAATAATTTTTTTCTTCTATATTATTTTTATTATTTCTTCAATTTGTTTTTCCCCAAAATTTAATCCCCCCTTCCCTATTATTTCTATTGTCAAAAAATTGGTTTGTCAATTTTTCTCTCTCGTAATGGCTAATCTCTCCCTTTCATTTTTAACCACAAAATGCTTTGCACTGTCCATTATTTTACTGACCGATTGCCATAAATGGTAGTTTTACTAGATAGTTTTGTTTGGATGTAGGGCAAAACACCGTCCGACAGGATACCGTTTGAATATTAGAGTAGGAACCAGTGCTGGGTATTTGCCATTTGTTGGCTCCGGCTCCGGGCTCCGGGGTTTGAAAATCTTGGCTCCGGCTCCGGCTCCGGGCTCCGGGGTTTGAAAATCTTGGCTCCGGCTCCGGCTCCGGGCTCCGACCTTTTAAAATCTTGGCTCCGGCTCCAGCTCCGGCTCCGGAGCCGGCGATTTTCGGAGCCGCTCCATGTTGGCTCCGGGCTCCGGCTGGAAAATCAATTAATTATTTTTAATTGGGGGATTTGGGTAGATAAAGGGGGATATCGAGTGATATCAGAGGATTAAGAGGAGTATCAATGGATTAAGTGGCATTTGGGTGGATTATCGTGTGCATTAAGGGCGATATCGGGGAATTAAGCTGGATTAAGGGGATTTGGGTTGTCTGGGAGTTGGGCGAATAGGAGATGTTGGATTTATCCTCTCATTATCTTTTGCTTTTTGCGCCGAAGATCCTTAAGCCAAAGGATCTTCGGCGCAAAAAGAAGATCCTTAAGCCAAAAATCTTCCTTTTTTGCGCCGCAGGCGAAAATTTTGAGAATTTTGGAAGATCCATAAGCCAAAAATCTTCCTTTTTTGCGCCGCAGGCGAAAATTTTGAGAATTTTGGAAGATCCTTATGCCAAAAATCTTCCTTTTTTGCGCCGCAGGCGAAAATTTTGAAAAATTTGACTCACAGGAGACTAAAATTAATCAATTTAAAAAATTTATCCAGCTTTATTTATTTAAAAAATGCTTATTATAATTTATTTTCCAAAGAAAAACAATTATTTAATCATTTTTTGTAATATTTTTCGAACATATAACCGGATAAAACTCGGAACCTAACTCACTATCCATTCAACCACAACTATTTTACAAAGGAAAGGAAAGAAAATCTTTTTTACCCGTCTCAATTTTCTCTTCCTTTTCTTTTCTCGCCTACCATCTTTGCTTACTTCTTTTTCTCTAACCCATCTTTAGGGGTGTATAGCCGGAGCCGTGGGGAATTGGAAAACCTTGGCTCCGGCTCCGGCTCCGGGCTCCGGGGTTTGAAATTCTTGGCTCCGGCTCCAGCTCCGGCTCCGGGGTTTTCAAAATCTTAGCTCCGGCTCCGGCTCCGCCGGAGCCGGCTCCGGAGCCGGGCTCCGGAGCTAGCTCCCGGAGCCATACCCAGCACTGGTAGGAACCAACTCACATTCTTGTAGGCAATAAATTCGATTTGTGTCGATATTATGTTACCTTAATATTTTTATACTTTTTGGCTGTTAGGCCTTGGTTAGTACTATAATCCTTTGCCTAAAAATTTTATAGAAAAATTCCTCAAGGAGTAATAGATGTATTTTTTGCTCTAATGTGTGGACAGCGTTTAGTCGGACGGTGTATTATCCTAACATGTTTTGTTTAATCCTTTCTCAAACGATTTTTTATTTTTTTGATTTTCAAACTATTTTTTAAAAATAGATTTAAAAATTTAATATTTTTTATTATTCATAATTTAAAAAATTATTTTAAATAATGTTAGATTTTGAATTTTACAATAATGAATGAACAAAGGGAAAGCAAAACTCTTCCTTTTAGAGGTTAATCTGTTTAATTTAACCCCGCTTTTTATCAAATTAATTTGGCAAATAAATTTTTATTTTTTATTATTACTTTACCATACGAGCTCGTTTCTAACAGAAATGCATTTCTAAAACCCTCGCATACTCAGCGAGACCATTGCAAAAGTAATTTGTGCTTCTATTAGAATATTTACGGATTAGGTGAGAGTTGTCCACACTGATAATTCTACAAGACTAAAGATCCACCTCGGGTTTTCGCAAAACGATAGTACAAAATACAAGTACAATAAGCCCTGCTCAGATGGGGTTGGAGGATCCGAACATCCGAAAAATTCAGTTCGGATATCAGATCCAGGATACACCAACCCCACGCTCAAGAAGCATTTCTAGATAAACTAAAAAATAATTTCAATTATTCTAGATACTTTAATGTGCCAATCATTTACTTCTGTGCCAAAAACTTATATCAGAGCAGCCGATGAATTACTTCCCCTTTCACATGCCAGTCGTCTAGCTAGTCTCCCCAGCCTTTCCCCTCTTCCATTTTCTCATCGCCACCCTTCCCTAGCATTAACAACCGGTGCCGGTTCATCTTCACATCCTTCTCGATTTTCGCCTTTAGAACCTCAACGGCCTCCTAGAGCAATTCCCCAGTCCCTAACAAAAGCATTGCCTAAAAGACAAGGAAGGATGACGACAGAAAGTTTTCTAGAAATTTTTTAAAAATTTCAAAAAATTTTTCAAGAAAATTTGGACGAATTAGCCCCCCTCGGTAATGAATGGGAAAAATCACAGCCTGGAACTGGGATTTGTGGAAAATGTGTTCTTTGTTTACTACTTAATGCTGTGTTTGTTTTGGCCCTTTTCCTGGCTTTTCTGATTGGACATTTTGCGTCTGAAGCACATTTACCTTCAAATAATAAAGTAAAAAATTTAAAAAAATTTTTGAGCTTTTGGTTGCTTTTTAATAAAAAAATTAACTAAAAATGCTTATTTTTTAATTTATAAGACTGACAACTTAACTTTAAATAATTTATTACTAACCTCTAATAATGCTTCTATTGGTAAACTTAATCAAACAGCTTCAACTTTACAAAATCAGACGGAAATAAAACAAAAGAATGTAGAATTTGTGAAGGTAGAATTTGCTTTGAATACAGTCGGACCTCCGTATAAGGTACCCTCCTGGGCTGGAAATAGTCTCTTACAACGAGGTGTAATTTAAATAGAGGGTATCACTTAATAGTCTCTTACTATGAAGTGTATCTTTATCAGGTCATCATTTAAGTCTCTTATAATCAAGTATCTCTTAAATAGAGTACATTAAGATGAGTGCTAATGATAGAAAAGTTCTTGACGCTGGATTAAATTTGGAGGGAATGAACGAATTAGAGAAAGAATCGAATGTCTAAATGAGGTGTTCTCTAAATAAAGGCATTTCTATGGAAGCACTTAGGGGGCCTACCAAAAATTTAAAAAAAAATAAAGGATATTTCTATGGAAGCTGCTCCACCTAGAGGGGCTACCAAAAATTTAAAAAAACGTCTCTAAAATAGAGAGTGTATTTGATAATGGGTGTAGCTTATAAGGAGGTCTAACTGTTATTTTTAACATAAATGCTTATTTTAACACTCTAACACTTAACAATAACTTCTTCAAACCTTCTAATAAATTCCTTTTTAAAGAATATTGAAAGAACAAGACAAACAATTAAAGATGTTTATCCCCCACAACTTTACGATTCTGAAAGTTTTTTTGATTCTCAAAGTGACCAGGATTTTGCATTATTATCTCCTTTTAACAACGATGTTCACCATTCCAATGCAAAATTAATTTCTCGTTCAGATTACCCATTAGTTCCTCTTCCAAGGATTGCTTTACCTAGGCATTACAATGTTGATGTATGTAAATTTTAAAAAGATTTTTTTAATTTTTAAAGAGTTAAGGGGGCAATAGCGGTTCTGGGGGCAATAGCGGTGTTCCTTTTTCCTTCCAAAAACAAGACCATAACTTGGCAGGGGTTAAACATCTAAAAGGATAAAAGAGAAAGCATTGGTTGATGCCCCGGTAGATCAGTGGTAAAGCTCATATGTGGTGAGCTAAGGCCTAACAATAACTTCAAGGAGGTTGCGGCCAAACTGAATTTGGAATCCTGCCCGGTGGCTAAACTTTTGCCAAACTCATACTCCTTCTAAACCCATCAGATAAACCCCTCTACTCTTTACAAGTGTTCCTATTTATTTTTAAATTTTAAAAATTCTTTTCTAGTTAGATTTGACAGAATTTTATGGCGTAGTTGATTGGCCTAGAATACGTGGAAATCTTTCAATTTTATTGGAAGCTTTTGGCAATGCAACAGATGACGAACTTTTATTTAACGCTGGGACTAATATTTTTATTCAACGGATTCGTCTTTATCGCCAAACTGAGTTTGGAAAAGTTGTGGTTGAAATTAAGTCTGTTAAGAGGCACATTGAACGTGAATTTGTTCGTTTAATTTTGGGGGAAAGATTGAGTGTCGGATGGTAATTAAACATTTTTTTTTACTTTTAGTAAATGAATCTCTTGGGACAATTTACATACCATTTACACACCATTTTAGCAATATTTGCTTCTTTTAATCTGCTGATCTCATTATAATATACCCCTTGGGATTGAATGAAATCGTAAGGGTTACCTTAAATAGGAGGTATCGGGTTAATAGAGGGTATATTAAATATTTTTCATGTATATGATAATATATATGATAATATGTCCACTTAATGCGCAACAAAATTTTAAAGAACGGATCTTAAATATAGGTCTAATATTGTGTGTATTTTATACCGTCTGACTTCACTAAATATTGTATGCCCTAATGCTAATACTAAGATTTAAGATACGTTTTTGAAGTTGTGGTTAGCCACTAGGTTGGGAAAGGTGCCTAAGCGATAGCACACTTATAAATAACTTGGGTTTTGACATAAAGGATCAAGTTTGATTTTTAAGGTACTGGCTCTATATAGAATTCAATACTCGAATATGTCAATCAGAACTTGAAGGAACTCATTGCTTTCCAGGCCCATTGCTTTCATCAGATCCAAAAGAATCTCCCTCTTCCCTTCCCTCCCGCCAATTAGCTACCGGATTTTCTACCAAATTTGAACCAAATTTTGCTCGGACCTTTTTCCCAGGCTGGGACGACCCTTCAATTCGTTCAACATTTAATTTATCTGTTCAACATTTTTCTGACACAAATATTTTATTCAACACATCACCCTTAACCAACAAACAAAATGTTTCTACAAATAATTTAATTAAATTGACACGTTTTGAAACAACTCCCCCAATGCCTCTATATTTATTTGCAATAGCCACTGGGCCTTTTAAACCTATACAAGTTGTGACAACAAAAACTAATTTGAGTTTAAATATTTGGAGTAATAATCAAGATTTATTAACTGCACATTTTGTGGCTAATTTTTCGCCTATTATGTTTGATAAATTACAAGAGGATTTTAATGTTGGTTTTTTAATTTTAAATTTAATTTTAAAATGAAATGTAAAATGGAAGCAAGTGTTGATTTTGAAAAAAAAATGTAGGAAAAAATAAAGGAAAAAAAATTAGAAAGAAAAAATGGAGTCGAGGTTGAAGGGGTGTTGTGGAGAGGGACGAACGTTGGTTGACCGCTTATAAAATAACTAAAAATCAACCAATAAATGTAAATTTGGTCTCTCAAAAAATTTCGGAATTTTTCGGATTAACTAGCAAAAAATTTCGGATTAACTAGCAACTCTAAAAATTTCGGAATTTTTAGTTCAGAATTTCAAAAGTTATAGGTAAAAATGCGTGATGCTACGGTTACATAAAAATCGCGCGCGACACGCGACAGAAAAGATAATGTAAAAAGAGGAGAGAAAAATCGCGCGCGATTTTGTCGCTTTTTTCTAGTGGTTACATAAAAAGCGACTTCCGCCGGCGTCTTGTCGCGCGCGACTTTGTCGCTTTTTTGAGTGGTTACATAAACCGCGACTTCCGCCGGCGACATGTCGCGCGCGACTTTGTCGCTTTTTCTAGTGGTTACATAAAATGCGATTTCCGCCGGCGACTTGTCGCCGGCGACACTTTTTTTGATTCAAACATGTTTGAATTTTCGGCGACACTTTTTTGCGACATGCTATTTCTCGATCAATTCTGATCCGATTTTCAAAATTTAAAAAGATTCTGAAAGTTCAGTTTATTCTCTATCGATCAATATAAATTTTATATTTTTAAAGTTAAATCTTATGGGTTAAAATTGATTTTGAAAAAGGTATACTTTTTGCAAAAAATGTTCTTTTTTTCGATATTTTTGAGATATTCAGTATGCCATCGAGTATTTATATTATAACTTTTTTATCAACGGTCAAAAATTCTGATTTTTTGATATGTTGTAGAGCTTTTGATTCTCTATCAAATGATATCAAAAACATGAAAAAGTGACAATTTCTTGATGAGTTCCTCCCTATTTTGGGGAGGAAAAAAAGATAAAAAGAATTTTTTGAATTTTTTTGAAATTTTATGGGCTTTAAAATGAGCCTAAAAGAAAATTTTTTATTAAAGTTCTAGGGGCTTAAAATATTTTTTGAAGTACTGTATCTCCATTTCCTTGATCAAAATTAGAGGTCGGCAAAATCGCACTTCCGGGATCCCGAGTCGGGATTTGGATATAGTTTAGTATACCGGAGTTTTAGTTCCGATATAAGACCCATATAGATCCACCGATATCCCTCTAAATCTATTAGATTTTTACAAATTTAATCTTATTTACAGTAGTCGACATAAAGATAGGGACAGGAGTAATTTAAATGAAAATTAACTATTTTTTATTCAAAAAATACGTTCTATATAGCAATCGAAAGCTCTATTCGTATCTCAGTTGACATGTTTCTGCATTTTTCATGAAATTGAAAATAGGCCGAGATAATCCGGATCTACCAGATATACCAAATCCTATATCCGCGGAAAATTTTTCTGAAAAAATTAGACAAAAAAATCCGGATCTACCAGATATACCAAATCCTATATCCGCGGAAAATTTTTCTGAAAAAATTAGACAAACCCATTTGATAAAGCATATTTTTCTGAGTATTTTCCACAAAACCGCTTAAAAATATCTTTTTCCGGTCCAGAGATATGATTTTTTGAAAATGGCATTTTTCCCTTAAAAATTGAATTTTTCCGAAGGCTCGGGGAGACCTGCTCAGTGCAAAATTTTTTAGAATTTTTAAAAGCCAAGAAACCAGATTTCATCCTCTTCCAGCGCCGCAGGCGAAAATTTAGAGAATTTTATAAGGCCTTAAGATCGGGATCCCGGAAAATCTCGTCGGGATCCTGTCCCGCGCCTACCTCTAATCGAAATATCAATGGAAAAATTCTAAAAAATCACAATATAAAAGCCACAAAAAAATAGTGGCAACAAATTGTCCTATACATTACAGTACTCTGACTTTCACCACCGTGAAAATTAGAGATAAATAAATAAAGAAAATATAGTTGAAAAAGATAGAAAAACTAATAATTTAGTGGTTACATAAAAATCGCGCGCGACACGCGACAATCGCTAGGCGACAAGACGCGCGCGACAGTCGCTAGTGGCGTGGTTACATAAAATCAGCGTTTGTCGCTTTGCGACAGTCGCTTTTGCGGAAGACGCCGATTTTATGTAACCACGCCACTAGCGACTGTCGCCGGCGACATGTCGCCTAGCGACTGTCGCGTGTCGCGCGCGATTTTTATGTAACCGTAGCATGAGGGGTTGAATAAACGTTATGGAGAGATGCGAACGTTGGTTGCTCGCTTATAAAATAGCGTAAAATCAGCCTATAAATGTGAAATTTGGTAGTAATTTCCAAAATAGGGTTATCTAACATCCCTAAAAATTTCAAATTTTTTGGTTTAGAATTTCAAGAGTTATAGGAAAAAATGCGGGTAGGGTTGAAGGAACGTTATGGAGAGAGATGAACGTTGGTTGATCGCCTATAAAATAGCTAAGAATGATCCTAGAAATATAAAATTTGGTAGAAATATCCGTAATAGGATTGTCTAACATCCCTAAAAATTTCAGAATTTTTGGTGCAGAATTTCAAAAGTTATAGGTAGAAATGTCCTAATTTTCTTAAAAAACCCCTTTTTCTTGTTCCTGAATCAGAATATGGGAAATACTCATCCAAAAATTCTGAAATTTTCAGAATAATTAGAGAACATTATCACAAATATTAGTTCAGAATTTGAGATTTTTATCTCTTATAGCGGTTTATTTATGAATTTTCTCCCAAGCATTATTTAATTAATTTTAATATTTTAAAGGTAAAATATCCACTTTCAAAATTAGATATTTTTATAACACCAAAATATCCCGTTGGAGGAATGGAAAATTGGGGACTAATAATTCTTCATTCTGATAATGTACGTATTTCAAATAGTGACAGTACTTTACCTATTAATGATGATTTTATTGACTCATCAAAGGAGGATAAAATTAAAGAACAAAAAAATATTCAAAGGCAAAATTTAATAGAAATTGATAAATTAGCTGAGAAATATAAAATTGAGAAACTAATAACACACGAATTAATACATCAATGGTTTGGAAATTTAGGTAAATTATCCTTTACCTCACCTTTATTTGCGTTTCAAAATTATATCCATCAATTGTTCTTCCTAGTTACATGCAACAAACGGGTAATTAAAGTAAATGACTTTAAAATTTTCTCCTTAAAAGACGCATAATGGTCAAACTTTCTTCTTTCTTCACTCTTAATCATTTCCTCAAGGCTTGTTTACGCCAGCTTCTTAATGACTGATTGAAGGATGGAAGAAAGTCTGACCGTTGAGGGGAAAGAAAAAAAGGGTCGAAATTATTCTTCCTCTTCAGTCTCATTCACTCAATTCGTTATGGCTCTTTTACTTCAAATTTCTAATCTTTTAATGAACGATTGAAAGCCAAAGGGAAAATTGAGGAAGTCTGACAATTATGCGTCTATTGGTAAAGAGAAAATGGGAAGAGTTTAAATCAGGGTTGTCGTTTCCAAACCACTAAAATGGGGCGCAGCCACTCAAAAATAGGGAAAAAATAGGGCGAAATTGGTAAAAAATATGGCAAAAAATAGGGCAATATTTTAAAAGCTTAAAATTTATTGAAATTTCAAATAAAAAGGCTTATTCCGCATGTTCTCCGCTAGTTTTAACTAAATTTCTAAAAAACAGTAAAGTTCAGATTAGAGACTAGCCTGGGAATGTCGTACGTGAATAGTACGAGATATCTCGAAAAACTGAAATTTTTTATCGTACGACAATCGCAAGAGATGTCTCTCTCGATTTCGATAATCAAGTTTATCTTCAAGAGCTTTGTAACCAATAGATTTCTTCCATATTTAGCAAAATTTTGAGAAGTTTGTACAGTTATCAAACCAGATTTTTTTCCTTTTTTAGCGCCGAAGGCGAAAATTTTGAGAAATTAAGAAGAAGAATGTGAGATATTTCTCTTTTTTCAGCGCCGCAGGCGAAAATTTTGGAAATTTTTATGTCCAGGAGTTAGATTTCTTTGTTTTTTTCGCAATTTATATACAAAATGCCTGAAAATTTTAAAAATATTACAAAATGTTAAAAATAGGGCAAAATATGGCAAATGTATAAAATAGGGAAAAAATAGGGCGAAAAGGCCAAAAATAGGGAAAATCCCCTATAAATAGGGTAAAACGACAACCCTGGTTTAAATTTAAAATAATCTCTTCCACTTGAGAATGTAAATTTTGAAACTCAGATAGAGGTTGGTGTTAGGATACAAAAAACCCTCCTAAGAAAATTTTTTTCAGTTTCAATCTGGAATTGGGAAGAACTCTGGCTAAGTGAAGGATTTACCTCCTATTTTGTTTTTGATTTTTTGAACGCCCACAACCACCCACAATTAACAGAACACGAATATTACTTAAAATTAATAGAATTAATTAACCAACAATCAACAGATGGAAGATCCTCTCTAATTAAATTAATCACAAATTCTAAACAATTGGATAGACTTTTTGATAGTATTCAGCTTTACACTAAAGGGGCTGTTGTTGTTAAAATGTTAAAGGATTTGGTTGGCCCTGAAGTTTTTAGAACATCGATTGCTCGGTTTTTGAGGGAAAATTCTTTTCAGGTAGACTATTGATAGATAGAGTCTGACACCTCGTTTAAAGATATACCTTAATATGAAATGAACCAATAATGGATACACCTCTATTTAAGAGACATTTTAAATTGAATTAACTATTGGGTGTAGATTGGGTGGAGATCCCTCTATTTAGGATATATTACACCTCATTATAAAATACTCCCAATGGATATACCTCTATTTAAGAGACGCCTCATTATAAACTCACAATATAATCCCAATATCATACCTCTATATAAGAGACTTTTTTTAATTTTTCGGGCCTATGGTCGGTCGGTGGTCTAGACGGTATCTTAACTTTAAGTTAACCTAATGATAAGAGACAATAGCCCCAAGGGTATCTTATAACGAGACCCGACTGTATTAATTAAAAAAATATATCAAGTAATTTTCAAAGTCAGTAGATAGACGTTCACTTTGGACAGCCTTCCCAACCAATGCCGATCACGGAGCAGATACAATTCGATTAAAGGATGTAATGGAAACTTGGCTACTTAATAAAGGAATACCCGAAGTTGAAGTAAAAAGAAATTACCAGGATAAATCTATTAAATTGGAACAACAACAAGCTGATAAAAATAGGCATTTAATTTATTTGGACGATGATAAGATGGGAAGAATGCGTTTAAATAAGAGATTTAAGAGGTATTTTTGGATAAAAAATACTTTTAAATCGCAGTTAAACCTACTGTAAGATACCCCCTATGTGCCGAAAAAATAGTCTCTTATAATAAGGTGTATGTTAAATAGAGCTACACCATACGAGACTATCACCTCGTCTCTTAAATAGAGGTGTTTGTTAAATAGAAGGTATAGCTCATTATAAGAGACTTATCACTCAGTGGATAACGTGTTTTGGAACACGTCTCTTAAATAGAGGTGTTTGGGGGTATCTTATAATGAAATTTTTCAAGAATGTGGCAGATGGAAGAAGAAGAGGAAGAAGAAGAAATTAAAAAAGATGAAGATATAAATGGAATATTGCATTGGATGCTTGATGGATTAGAAGAGAATAATACATTAACATCAACAGCAACAGCAACAACAACAATAATAAAGGAAATTAAAAGTAGAAAGGAAAACAACAATAAAAACGTTCATTTAACCACCAAAAAACGCCAACTCCGCGCAGAGCGAAAAAAATTCCCAAAAAACAATTTGTGGTCAATACCTTTTAGTTATTCGTTTGGTTCTGTTAAATCTAAGAATGGGCAAATACTTAGACAATTTTGGTTAATTAATGAAACTATTCGTTTTGTGGATATTGGGTTGAATAAAGACCAGTATTTGTTGGCTAATCCACATTGGGTATATTCTTATAGGGTTAATTATGATATTTTGAATTGGAGAATGATTATAACACAGGTAATATAAAGTTGGGCCTCGTTATAGGATACACCCTTTTGATGAAAAAATAGTCTATTATAATGAGGTGTGTTTAAATAGAGTCTCTAATGTTGAGAGATCGATTACTCAAGATCTATTAAAGTGAGAGGAGTTCTTCGAAAGGCTCATAATGGTCAGAGGGTTAGAGGGTATCTCTTAAATGGAGTCTATTGCTTGGGCATCTCTCCCTACTCAGTAGTGATGTTCGAGACTCTCTGTCTTGTCTCCCGCGTCAGAAAATTTCCCGGGTTTTTCAGGTCTAGGTCTCGATTCTCGGCTTTTTACCTCCCGAACATCACTACTACTCAGTGGCTAAACAAATTCAAAGAAATGTCTCTTAAATAGAGGTTCATCCTATAAGGGATGTATCTTATAATGAGGTCCGAACGTTTCTTAAATAATCATTTAACTAATAAATTCCCTATAGCTCAATAAAAATCATCTAGAAATACCTTCAATGTCCAGAATTCAATTAATAGTCAATTCAGAATATTTTCTAAGAGAATCTCCACATCCCCATTTATTTGTACAATTATTAAGGTATTGAATAAAAAAATATTTTTTCCTCCAAAAATAAATTTTTCCAAGTTATTTATCAAAAGAACACGAATTAGGGGTACTTTTGGTTGGTCTAGATGCTCTACACTCTTTTTTGGAATTATTTTCTGCTAGCGAAGTTTTTGGTTCTTTAATTGTCCATTTATTACCTGTCATTTTACAATTGGATAAACAATTGGTCATTGCTGCTAATGAAGGGACCGACCCGGAAGTGGCTGCCCTTTGGCTATTGAACCCGCTTAGATTGGCAAAGCTTTATCAGTTGAGGTGTTCTGCTAATTTGGGGACTTGTGCTGAACATAAACAGGTAAATAAAAAAGAATTGTGGGGGCATTATAAAATTAATTAGAAAGTCGTATTTAGTTATCCCCTACTTCGAAAAATCTTATCTTGTAAGAAGTGCACCTATATGAGTGCCAGTAACTCTCTCTAAGCTTTAATCACTTTAAGTCGATCACTATAAGATATTTCCTAGGGCTGAATAGGTATTAACAGCAATTTGCCACCATTGTGTACTTTAAATAGGAGTATGGCCAGTGGCCAACAGGAACGGGGCTAGTTTGATACGAAGCCGAAACCCAACCTTTTTTCAACCCGAAATCCGAAACACTATCAGAAGAAACAACCTCGTTGTGCCCTTTTTCCCAGCCCGTCCCATACCTATTGCCCAGCTAAAATTTTAAAAATAACATGTATCTTAAATTGCTTTCCAATTTTTTTTGGGTATCTAAAAACGAGGTTTTTGACTTTATTTTTAAACAGGTCCATAAATGGTTATTATACCCGACAGCATTAACCTCCGACAATTACCAACAATTAACAGCAATTTGTCATCATTTATTTAAACATTCTGACAATTCCGAATTGAATTTATTATCTAATTTGCTTAAACAACCCCAATCTATAGCTTTACATTCGGTTATAAGACATTTATCTTCTCGATGTGTTCAAGACGAAAAATTAATTAAACAAGCTGTGCTGGATATTATAAATACTAGAAATGCTATTGTTTATTCAAATTCTTTAAAAGTATTTTTTAAATAGAATACTCACATTACAAGAGACCTCTGGGCTGTTGAACTATACTATAATCTCTTATAATGGGATTTATTTTAAATTAAAGAGGCCTTATAATGAGATGTATTTTAAATAGAAGGCATCGCTTAGGCAGCTCTCCCCCCCCTTTTGCCAGCACAATTTATAAAAGACTGTCTCTTAATTAGAGGTGTATTTAATATTGGGCATATCTTATACAATCGGATCTCACTATAAGATATCCCCAATACTAGATACACTTCAATTTAAGAAACGCTTTTTAAAATTTGGTTGGCAACGGGGCGGAGGAGTCTAAGCAATATCCTCTGTTTAAAATACACCTCATTATAAGGGACTATTATGTGATAACTCTATTTAAGCTTCACCTCATTATGAGAGGCTATTAGGTGATGCACTATATTATAGGAGACGATTCATTATAAGAGACAATTCCTTCAACCCCAAAAGTTTATCTTATAATGACATTTCCTTTTATTAATTTGAAAAAATTCTTTTCCAGAACAGTTACACCCTAAATTACAACAAAAAATTTCGAGAAATTTTTTGGACACTACTATCCACCCAATTAAACATCCAAGAAAGGCAAATACTTTTTGCTGTAAATACAGGAAAATCTGACCGAATGGCTAGAAATTTGCTTCATTCAGTTCACTCTTTGGGTGAATTAAATTTAATCGAGAGAATATTGTTAAATCAATGGCCAGATAAATTACGTTTAGAAATTGTTTGATTTTTTTTAATTTTTAAATTAAAAAAAATATTTTTCAAAGGATTATCTTCGAAGAAAATTTTCTTGGATTGAAAGGGAAGGAAATGAATTAATTAGAAAATACCTCATTAGAGAAACACACCAAAGGACTTAATTACAAAAAATAATTATTATGTACACATTTATATGTATATACCGTAAATACTCTAATATAAGCCCAGCCTCTTGTAGAAGCCCACCTCTAATATAAACCCACTTAAAATGACCTATTGATAAATATAAGCCCAGGGTTTATATTAGAGTATTTACGATATGTCCCTTTTTATCCCCTTCTCAAAGTTTCCACATAAGGCTCATAATGATCGGACCGTATCATACTACCACGGTATTTTTTGTATTACGGTAATACGATACGGTACAAAATTCCAATTATTTATGGTCAGACTAAAGCTTACACGGTAAATTTGTCGGTTCAGAATCAAACCGAAGAACTGAGGATTTTTTGAGGTTCTTCGGATAAATTCCGGAATATCATAGGATCTTCCATTTAACTTTTCCCGATCTTAAAAAATTCCAGATAGCCAGAAAATTTACGGATAGTATTCGAAGATATTTGAAGGTTTTCCACGATCAATCTTTTCTTTAATTTAAAAGGGAACATCAAGTAAGTTAGGTGTCAGGGCTGGGCGAAATCAAAAAATAAAATGCGAAATGCGAAACTTTTCGCGCTGAAACATGTGAAAAATGCGAAACGATCGCCCAGCCCTGATAGGGTACTTATTCCATAAGTCTGTTCATAAAAATTTTTGGGAAGGGTCACTCATTGATATATTTATTTTTTTTTCTTAAATATTTTTATTTACAATTAATATTATATGAAATAATTTGTTAAAATTTCTAACCCTTTTCTAATATTTTTAAAAACAATTCAAAATATTTTTTTAAATCTTTATTAATAAATTAACAAATTTACAAAAATTAATTTTAAAATGCAAGTCTTTTTAAGCTTTTGTAGATTTTACAGGCTTTTTTGTCAAATTTTTAGTTTTGTTGGATTTATTTAAAATAATTTTTATTTTCGTCCACCATAGCCATAATTCGCTCCCCCTCCTCCAAATGATGGCATACCACCCCCTCCAAAACTACTTCCCCCTCCGCTGCTGCTAGATCCACTACTCCACTGGCTAAAACCTAAAAATTAAAAAAAAATTATTTTTTTTAATTAGAAAAGTGTGCCAATCCGCTACAAGCCTCTCCGTCTCAGACTGCGTACCTGTTAATGGACTTGTTAATTTTAGTAGATCCATTAGCTAGAACTAGACCCTTGCGACTCGGTGAGCTAAAACGTCGATCAAAGTTTTAAATCTAGGAGAATTCCTAGTATAGTTTTCAGATCTTTTCTTTCGAACCATGCTCTCCACTCTTCAAAAAATTTTTTAGCAATATAACTAGAGATTGGATACGAAATTTCAAATTTCATACGGCCCTCTATAGCTCTGCGACAGAGTGTGCTCGGATTATGCCTCTCTAAAAACCTGATTGTTGAGATTGTTGAAAGCCACCCCCACCTAATCCACTTGTTCCAAAACCTCCTCCACCCCCATAACCATAACCACATTCAGACAAATGAATGGCAATAATTAAGAAAAGTAAGGGAAGCAAAGTTTTATACATTTTCTTAAAAAATTTTCTTAAAGAAGAATTAGCTTTCTAATTAATTTTTCTCCTAAATTTATTTCAATTTATATATTTTAATTTTTAAGTAAATGAATAAGAAATTCGCCAATTAAAAAATTTATTTTCCTTAATAATTTAGCGAACGTTCCAGTTATGTTACGTAAAAGAAGAAAGATTATTAAATATTTGTTAAATTACTGTTTGCTAATAAAATAGCCTTATTTCTCTCCATATTTGTACGAATTCTCCAAAAAAGTTTAGTAATTCAAATAATTAATTACGCCTGTCTATGTAAAGGTTATTGAAGATTATTGAAGAAAATAGGTTGAGTAAGCATTTTCTAGTCAGAGTTTGCGAAATTTCGAGTTTCGAGATTTTTCTTTCGCATTTTTTGCCTTCTTACTAGTGTCGCCGGAACCGCAAATTTGGCCGAAACCGGAACTGACATTTTGACCGGATCCGGAACTTGAACTCCCGGCGAAACAATACTTACTACTTCTCGGGTTTCGAAAATTTTTTCGAAGAAATCTCAGAAAAGGATTAAAAAATAAATTTATAATAACACGCAAATGGACTTAAAACATAACTTCATCGAGCTTTAATTTTATAAAAAATTTGAACAATAGTGTATCCAGATTAAAACGAACAATACCTAATTTTTATCCTTATTTACATAATTATGGTCTCTAATAGAAGCTCTGGACATCTATTTTTAAAAGGGTATCGTTGAGTGGGCTCTAATTTTATTTTAATTAAGAGGATTAAAAGAGGAGGCTCTGGAGGAGGTGGATTAGGTGAGGGCGGCTTTCAAAAATATAGGGCATAGGCTTCTACTGGAGATGGGCTTTATTAGAAGCAAGATGGTATTTATTTTTTAAATTAAATTAATTTTTATTTAACACAATTTTATGTACAATGCAAAAATGTGAAATAAACAAGTCATTGTTTATGGCTCAAGAATAATTGACCTCACAAAAATTTTCAAATTTTCCAAATAAAAATATTTAAATCATTATATAGACAATTGTAATACATACACGTTTTTTATATATTTTTTAGCTGAGTGATAAATTGATTTGATTGATATTGGATTGATTGAATGATTGATTTATATATACATATATACACGTGTATCAGAAATATATATTTAAAAATATAATTCTTTCTCCTGAAAAGTTTCATTAAAATTTGATAAAATCAACATGTAAACACATTACTCATCTTGTTTTTACTTTTAAAAAAAAATTAACAATCGAGTTCCCCCTTTTTTAGTTTTCCCAAAACTTCCCTATCCTTAGATATCCTCTATATACACTTTATTTTTCAAGGGGTTCATTAAAAGGTTCCAAAGGCTCATAAGGGCCAGAGCATCATGAGTAAGTTGTCGGTCTAGAACCGAGCCTAAACCCCGAGGATTTTTCGGTAGGTTCTTCGGTAAGCTCCCGGATATACAAAAATCTTCCAAGAACCGAAAACACTATTCACAACAAGGAATTCACTAAGGATTTTATTCAAAAAAGGAATTAAAAATTCAATCCTTTGAAACATGCCAAAGAAAAGTAGAAGAGAAATTTTGGGAAAAATAAAAAGAGGAAGCACTTAAAGTATTAACTTTTAAAGTTTCCAATCTCGAATTAAAAAAAAATATTTTTTAGATGAGCAATAAAAATATTAAAAATGGGGGATTTGGGCTTTTTAAAAAGAAAATATATAAAAAAATTAACAATTCGCTTTTTCTTTTTTACAATTATCGGATTAAAGAAAGGCAAAAAATAACCTTAAACATAAAAATATATAAATTTAAAACAATTTCTTAAAACCCTCTCTTTTTATTTGATAGACAATGGGGGTTGGAATAATTGGGAGTGTCTGAAACTTGAAAAGTTGAAAGTAGAAGAATCAGGAACCGGAAGGGAAATCAAAAAGCCGAAAACCGGAAAAATCGGAAGTGGAAGAAAATCGGAAGACGGAAACCGGAACTAGTTCTAGTTCATATGTTGGAACCCAGAGATTTCTAAAAAAATTTCGGAACTAGAAAGGCTGAAATGGGAATTCCGACTCTTTGCCAGACTTAATAAGTAAGGTTGTCGACTCGGAATATCGAAGAACTCGAGGATCTTACATTCGGTTCTTCAATTAGGCTCAAGACATTCGAAGATTCTACAAGAACCGACAACCCTGATAAATATTAAGATTGCTCTGAAACCTCCCAGAAATAAGATGACGACATAAACCCAGTGAAAGAGGAGAGAGGGTTTTTAATCAAATACATAAAATTAAAAACGAAAATAAATTTTTTTGATTAAAAAAATATTTTTTAAATATATATAAATTTAAATATATATCAGTTATATATATAATCTGCCTTTTTTTATAATTTTTTTAACCCTGCCTGTTTTCTGTACCCCGTTTTTTCTTCTCAAAAATTAAATTATATAAATATTTAATGATTAGTTTCATGGCCAGGAGAGAAACTTGATTGATCCCATTGGATAACTGGCGATAATTGATTGGATAAACTTCCTCCATGTTGTGACATTAATGGGTCTTGACCTTGTAGTGGTCCTCTCTAAATTTAAAAAAATTAAGATCTCATTAAGAAATACCCCTATGCTATTTAAATACCCCTACCTTTTATAAGAGACGGTCATGGAATGGGACGGGTTGAGAAATAAGTCGGGTCGGGTTTAGGGTTGTCAAAATTTTCCTCGGAACGGGCGGAAAAAAGTCCGGGTTTCGGGTAACCCGTCCCATTTAAGAGACGGTAATAAGTTGGTTGGTGATTAGGTGGGAAGAGAACTGCCTAGGCAAAACTCTCTATTTAATCAACACCTTATTATAAGGTCCGATTCTTCAAGCCTGTATCTTATAATGAGTACACCCTCTATTTAAGGGACGTTTGTTTAAAATATGGTTGCCGACTTGAGGGAGGATTTCCTAACCAAAACCCTCTATTTAATAGACATCTCATTATAAGGTACGATTTTGCCAACTCAAAGGATACTGATGTGAGGACTAATTAATTGTAATACTAGATATGCCTCTATTTAAGAGACGGTTAATTAAAATTTGGTTGATACTCTAAAGGGAAGAGAGTTTCCTAAGCAAAACATTGTATTTAATCCTCCACGATTTTTCAGGCCCCAAAATAAGGTCTAATTAATTGTTTACATGTTGAAAAGCAAATTCTTCCATATTCAACTCCCCATAATTCCCAGAATTAAATATTTGACCCAATTGTGTTTGTGCATTCCAATTAGACATATTAGTACCTTAAACAAAAATTTTTCTAAAAATCCCCTTAAAAACACACCAAATTCCATAGGTTGTTGTTGTAATAAATTTAAAGTATTTGGTGTTGTATTATTCGAATTATTGTTGGCTAGAACATGCTGATTTAAATAATTAGCCATTTCTGTTGGAGCACTCCCAATTATAAAAGCTGCTGGGGAATGATGGCCAAATTGCTGTTGAATACTTGACATTTTTAAGAGAGAAGCGTGACTTGATGTTGGACTGGCTATTTGCATTTCTTGAAGACTACAGGCTATTTTTGCCTTTAAAAATTGATAATTTTAATTAAGATAAAGGGGAGGAACTCCTTATAAGGTACCCCATTGAGGAGAAAAATGTCTCTTATAATAGGTGTGTATGTTAAATAGGGGGCAATAACCCATACATCTCAACCCACTGGCCAAAAACTTTTAAAAAACGTCCCTTAAACAGAGGTGCATCCAGTATTGGGTTTATCTTATAGTGAAAGGTATCTCAAGTAGAGTACTTTAACCAGAGGATATATCGCTTACACAGCTCCTTACACAGTGGTCGACCACATTTTCAAAGGTTTATCTTAGCGGAGTATCCATTATTGAGAGTATCTCATAATGAGGGGTCCGACCATATTTTGAAAATTTTTCCACCTGTGGAGTGCTCGAAGGAGAAAAATTTCCAATTAATTCCTCAGAAGGTTCTTGTTTTATACATTTTCCATGTTGTGTAGAAGATGGAAGGCAAATTGGTGGTGATAAGGCATTGGGTGCTGGTAATTTACATGGAGGTACATTAATACCGTTTTTCTCAAGTTGATTTTCCAAATCCTTTTTTTAGAAATATTAATATATTTTATTTCTTATCCAGTTTACGAGCCGTATAAGGAGGATATTGAGGTTTGGGGTCCTTAAAATCTCTTAGATTTGAGACAATGGGTCTTGAATAGTGATGTTTATAGCTTTAGGAGCTATTTACTCAGAGCAAGATTTTATAAAGGACGGAAATAGAACGCCCAATACCCCCACTGGTCTTAAACTATCCTAGTTGATAAGGATACAATATGAAAGCATAAAATGGACCACTAGTACAATTTCATTATTAATTTACTTGAATTCTTTGAAAATATTGTTTAGCAAGTTCTTCCAATCTTGAAGTTTTTTGTTGATGTCTTTAAATTTAAAGAATAAATAGGTATATACTTTCATTTTTTAATTAAATGTTGGATCTCGCTAAAAGATACTCCCAGAGGCTAAAAAGTCGAAGGAATTTTAGAATAGATCCCTAAAACTTGGCGATTTTTTGACCAAAATCCAGACATTTGCCCATGTGTATGTCCAAGCTGTCCCTCTCGCACTAAGCTAGACTGAGATGCATCTAATAGTATTGGGAGTGTTTTATAATGAAATGTAACTCATATTGAAGTGATAGGTGGTATTGCTCAGATCTTCCAATCGGCCACCCATTAAAAGAAGTCTCAAATGGAGATGTTTGGAGTTATCTTATAGTAAGATCCGACCATGTATATTTAAAACAAAACCTAATCATAATTTCTCTATCTTTTTGTAATTGTCTAATATAATCACAAGAAGCTTTAAGAATTGTACCTTTATTTAATTTCATTTCTCTGAATTTAAAAAAAAATTATTTTTAAATAATATTTAAATTAACTCAGCAGTTGATTTTGGAAGCATTAAACCCAATTCTTTAATTCTATCGTTAATATTATATCTTCTTCTTCTTTCAACTTAAAAAAAAATTTTTTTTAAGAAAATTTTTTTAAGATTTACTCATATTGTGAATATCCTTTTTACGCCTATCCTTGTATATTTCAACCTCTGTCATATTCAAATCGCGAGTAACTGCTTGCGATCCTCTTCCATTTACAGCAGCAGGACCACTACCGCTTGTAGAAACACCAGCAACGCCTCTTCTAATAAAATTCCTAAAATTTTATTTTTAAGAAAATTCAAGAGTGCGAAGGTATAGGCTACTAACTCTAATACTAGTAACACCTAGATGCAACCAAGGTTACCGTATATAAGACAAATTTCGATATTTGACAATACAATATTTTCAAGCTTGAAAAAATCGAAGTAATTTTTCGATCATCTAATTAAGCACGGTCTCTAATAATGTTTGTATTGATATACGAGCTATGAGGGGAAAGGCTCTAATTTTGTATTTTACTCGAAATTTGAAGTCTTAAGCTGACCACCAGAGGTGGGTCGGAACAGTCAGAGGTGTCGGAAATCGCAAAAGCCGGAAATCGGAACTGGCTCAAAAGTCGGAACTCGGAAATCGGAAATTAAATTTTTTCGGACATCGGTAGGAAAAAACGTCGGAAATCAGAATTCCGACCCACCTCTGCTGACCACAACTCACACCTAGACAACCTAAAAATCTTTTTACAGACCTAAGAACAATTTCGCGTAATTTCGTTTCTTTTTTAACTATTCCTTTTTTTCTTTCCCCTACAAAACTATTATGTTTCCTCTTTAAATCAGATTTTTGATTATTTAAAGCCGAGTTTGTATTGGCATTAGTTGCTGTATTTTCCCCTATTTTAACTCCTCCATTCTCCATTTTTTCAAATTCATTTTCATTATTTTTCCTCCCCTTATCTTCTTCTTCCCCAACAACTTCACATTCACTTTCCTCTTCCTCGGACTCATCCTCCTCTTCTTCATCCTCTTCCTCTATAGTTAATTCTCCCCCTTTTTCGACCTTTCCATTTTTATTTTTAACAAATTCCTCCATAGGAAAATTATTTTGACCATTACTAATGTTTATTTGAGGTATTACATACTCTATTTCACATGAGGTTGGTGCACTCGAAGATATAATTTGACGGAAATCGTTATCATTTTTAGGGCTGTACAGGGCAAAGCCACCACCTCCGGCTGTTTGAAAGCCTGGGGAACCGCTTTGAATTGAGGCATTCTTTAAAATTTAAAAATATTTCTTTAATTTTAATGAAAGACTAACAGAAGAATCTCGGCTACAAGCTGTTGATAGAGGAATTGGTCGACTTGAATGTTGTTGTTGTTGAATAGATGTTGGACAGATATAATTATTCTTTGAAAAAAAATTTTGTAGAAAGGAAAATCATTAAAGATTGGCAAAATCCCATGCTGGGATCCCGCAACGGGATTGAGTTTCAAAAGTTTTAAAGGGAGCGATCCCGATGAAAGGGGTCGATCCTAACGGTCCCCGATCCTCGCGATCAGGAGCGATCCTGATCCCGTTAGCCTGAAAACTCAGGCTAACGGGACGGGATTCTGTAAAATCCCACACGGGATCACTCCGTTGTAGAGCTCTAACAATTATATACCCCTTGGTGGTAAAAAATTTTATCCTATAACGGAGTGTACATTAAATAGGTGTAACTTAGCCAACTCCCATACCTCTTGAACTTAAATCTAGATGTGCCTATTTTTGAGGAAATTTTATCCTATAATGAGGTGTACATTAAATAGAAGGTGTAACTTAGCCAGCTCCCATAAAACTTGAACTTAAATTGAGATGTCTATTATTGAGGGTATCCTATAGCGAGGTGACCCTTATTTTAATTTTATAAACCTGTATTATTATTACCTGTCGATTATTAGCTTGTTGTTCCCCTTCAAGAGAAAGTATTTCATCAATTATAAATTCATCCAACTTTAAAATTTTAGGAATATATTTAAAAAACAATTTTAAAAACCTGTTGTTGTTGTTGGCTTTCTGTATTATTTTCTATTCTTTGTTGAGATGAATGTTGGGAATTTTGTTGTTGTTGGTGTTGAAGGAAATTTTGAAGCATTTTAAAGGGATATAGTTTCTTTAAATGAGGAAATAGTTAATGATGATAGGAAATTGATTGAAGGAAAAATATATATATTTTTTAAATATTTATAATTCTACATAATATTAAAAATAATATTTAAGAAATAATTTAAATTTAAAATTTTTTAATTATCAGTACTTGTGTAGTTTACACCCCATAAGCCCCGCCCCTTTTCCTATTATAAAATAATCAAACGGGTCAATGTTTTTATTTTTATTGTGGTCTAACTTAATCTAACTTAAAATTTAATGAAATCAGTGGATAACAAAGAAAATATACCCCAATACTAGATCCAGAGATCTCTGAAAATCGTGAATTTGTTTTTTATTGCAGCAAAATCCCTGCTAGATACCCCACAATTTAATAGACGTTCTTTATAATTTTGTTAATCAAAGGGTGATGAAAGCTTGCATAAAATGCTACGCTTGCATAAAATTTGCTTTGCGTCTTGCGACAAAAATAAAATTTAAAAGGAGAGGAAACACGCGCGCGACTTTTCTCTCCTCCTTTCCCTATTATCTTTACCGCCTCAAGACGCGCGTGTTCTTTATGCAAGCAAAACACAAATAATGAATGCGCTCTATTTAGAATACAACTCATTAATGTTAGCAATTCCTGGGAAATCCTCGGATATCCGGAACCGATAACCGAAACGAAAATAGCCGAATAACCGGACATTCTTCGGTTCCGTAGGCCCGGAACCGACTCATTATAATATGCGATTTTTCTAGCTCCAAGAGTCTATCATATAATAATTCTTGTCTGAAAATCTCTTAAATTCTAAAAATATTTAATTAAATAAATTAATCCTTAGAGGTATCTATAAATAAATTTTAAATAGATTTTTTTAACCAGTTCTTATCAAATAAGTTATTACTTTTGGATTTAAAATCTAGGGATTAAATATCACTTTTTTTAAATAAAATTAATTACATTTTTAAAAAAGCTTCCGGATTTCCCAATAATTTTTATTTATTGGAAACTTTTTTAGTCTTAATTGTTTCTTTGATTTTTTGTGATAAAAACTTTGTGATTTTATTTATTTGAAAAAAGGCCAGACGTATTTTAAAAAAACTAAAAAAAGAACCAATAAAAATTAACAAAAATGGTCTTTAGTTTTTGGGGTTGACTTGAAACAAGGAAAAAACTGGCTAATTCAAACAAACAAAAAAGGGAAAAATTATTTTATAGTCGAGAATCGAAATTCTTGTAAAATTAAAAAATCAGTCGGATTTATAAAATAACCCCCAATATAAGATACCCCCAATATAAAATAGCCTCTATTTAGGATACGCCCTTTAAAAATTAGTGGGAGAGAGGGTTGGGTGGGGGAAAATACTCAAAAATGGGGTTGAGTAGAAGAGCAGTCTAATCTAAACGATACTCTCTATTTAAGATACCTCGTTATAGGAGACTAATTAACAAACCTCTATTTAGGATACGCCTTTAAAAAATTATTAGGAGGGAGCTGGGTGGGGGAAAATACACAAAAATGAGGTTCGGGAAGAGCAGTCAAAACGATACTCTCTATTTAAGATACACCTCGTTATAGGAGACTAGTCTTTCAAGCTCCAAGGAGGTATATAAAAACAAGGTTTTTGGTCAAAGAGTTGGCTAATGAGTTTAGGGAAGTTTCCTCAACGATCCCACCTCTGTTAAATCAACACCTCGTTATAAGGTATGATTTTTTAAAAGGGGATATATGTAAAAGCGAGGTTCGGCCATAACAAATTTAGAAAAAGGATTGTAGTGAATTTAAAAAAGAAAAACAAGGGAAAAATCAATTTTTGGAAAACTTGGCAAAATTTTGTCTATAATTCCCACACATTTCAATATTTCACATAAAATCTTTTAAAAAAAACTTGGCCAAATCAATTAATTTAAGAGAAAAATTTTGAGGAAAAAGAAAAAAATAAAAAATATTTTTTTTTTCAGAAAAAAAAACAGGGAACATAAAAAAATTATTTTAAGAGGAAAAAATAGAGAGAGGGCTCTCTATAGACAGGCAAAGAGTGTGTCTATTATTGATTGACGACCCCTAAAGCGCTGTTGCTGTGTTTGTTCTCCCCCAAAAAAGAGAGCAGCAATATTGGAAAAAAACGTCGTCCAAGGGGAAAATTTTTGTGTTTGCCGCTCCCAGCTCCCTTTCAAATTACTCTAACTAACAACTAAAAAATATTACCAGCCGCCAAACATTCACCCCTCTCTTTCCTTCTTTTGTCTACCAAAAACTGATATTTATCCCCTCACATATTTTCTATATTTAATGTGTTTTGTGTTTTTTTTATATTTCTTTTAGAAAAAAAAAGAATTTCCCGACAAATTGGCAGAAGGCCAAAAAATTTTTATAAACGTCGATAAAACCGACTACATAATATGGAGTCTGTTGGATAATGACAGCCAGAGTGAAAAAGAAGGGAAAAATAAAAATGGCGTCGTCGACGTTGACAGAAGAGAGAAATAGCAAGAGAGAGTAAAGGCTGTCAATAAAAACAAAAAAAGAAAAGAAAAAGAGAAAACAGCAAAAAAATTTTTAATTGATCAAACGGCCGTTACTGGTTGGCAGGAAAGGGGGAGGGGCAAAACTCCGTCCGACAACTCATCGTCCGGACAACTCACCGTCAAGACAACTCACCGTCCTTTACAGAAAATAGATTCGATTCACGTTAATTTTATGTTATTTTAATATTTTTAGACCCCAAGGCTATTAAGCTTTTGCTGATATATTTTTTTTCAGATTTGCTTACTTAAATGGAAGGCATTTTTCTCCCAATGTCCAAACTGTGTTTAGTCTGTCGGTGTTTTGTCCCCCAAAGAATAGTTGGTAGAGTAGTCCACCACTATAGCAGTGTTCGTTTCCCCATAAAAGCTCAAAGAGCAGGCTGGTGTTTAAATAAATAGTTAGTTTAGTGTTGTTTTAGGACCAATTTTTTTATTTTTTGTTAAGAAAAATGAGATGGATTAGAAAGAAAAAGGGAAAAGTTTTGGCCAAAGATGAAGGACATTTTATTACTTTTATCGTAATATTTTTGGAAATGTTTGAAAGAGAGAAGGGAGAAGAAAATGGTCGAGTTTCTGATAAATTGTTTTTGGGCGATAATGTCAACCAAAAACTATGAGAAAGGGGGGGAGAGGGGGGGGGGAAAGGGTTTAAAATATTGCTTGTGTTTGATAAATGTTTTAGTGATAGTAAAAATAGTAAAAATATAGGGGAGGTTATTTTTGGTATTTTAACAAAAAAAAATTTTTATTAAAGGAAAAAGAGTAAGGGAGAAAATTGAGAAATGATGGCCTTGATAAGAGAAAATTGAGAAAAATTTAAAAAAAAGGAAAGGAGAGAAAGTAGGGAGCGGTCCATATTTTGCCAATACACATTTTGCCAATAAGGCTAAAATTTCTCGTTTTGTCAACAAGTTACTTGGCAAAACGTACGTTTTTAGCCTTATTGGCAAAATGTGCTAGTGGCAAAATGTGTGGGGGAACGGTGGTAAAATTATTTTTTATATCTCACCTCAATAATTCTTCCTCATCCTTTACTTTCTAAAATTAAAAAAATCTGGCTCAATAATAGACGGAATAAAAAAATATTTTTTAAAGGGATTTACTAGTTTAAACGTAATCTTTTTTTAAAAATAAGTGAGGAAATGCGCGGAGAAAAAATATTTTTTTAATTCCTCTTTTTTAAAGTGTATTAGTGTGTGTTTAGACAAACATGTGTGGGGGACACCCTTCTAAAAGTTTTTTTTCTTTTTAGTCAATTTTTTGAAAAATATTTTTTTTGAAGGATATTTTTTTGAGAAAAAATCAAAATTTCGTCGCAAAATTGTTTAAAATTAAATTTTTTTAATTATTGGAGAAATTTGATTTTAAAGGAGAAAAAAAACTTTTAGGCGAGTTGAGAGAGTTTGAGAGAATTGAGATTTTCTGATATAACGATCTCGATTCTCGGGCGACACTCCCAATCCAGTCTCTAAAAAATACCTTTGAATTTACAGGCAATATATACCTCTTAATTTGCTTCTCATCAGTGCCCATAGTATAAGAACCCGGTCAGAGGGCCATGGGCTATTTGACCACGACTGCTTGGACCATGGTTAATGACCTTCGTTATGTGACTCAAGGTTATTGTTGACCGGTAGAAAAAACCACGTGGCTTTACCAGCGCCATAAGGGTCACCTAACCACGAATTACCTTCTTATACTAACTACCGTTGCAAGGCGTGCCACTTATTTAAATGCTTACATATTTTTGTAAAAATAAAAAAAATTTTTATTCTAGTTATGGTAATTCATAAAGAAGGAAAGGAAAGGAATTAAAAAAAGCCTTTTTCTCGACAAAATATTTTAATTTGACTTTTTCTGTCATATAAAATAGTTAAAAATGCGCAGCGTGTCCAAGTACATATAAGAGTTATAGTAAACAACTACATAAAAAAGGGAAAAGAAAAATTCCTTTCATGGAACGTCAGCCTAGTCAAACCACGTGGAGGCTGGTCCCTGGCAGACGACCAAAGATGGACGTGTAGAGTTTTATAAAAAAGGGGGAGAAAATAAAGAGGGGCCAATAGCTGGGATGGGAAGGACCTCGTGGCGGGGAAGGCCTTCGCCAACTGTTTGCTTTTTTTATTTTTTTGGCTGTAGTGTAGTGTACCGGTGGTAAAAGTTCGGGATGTGACATATGTCATTCGATTCGTCTCGACGAGCTGAGTCGAATGGTACCACTCACTACTTTAGGAAATGATTCTGGACCGAGTTATAGGTCCCGAAATATTGAAAAACCAAAGGGGGGAGTAAGCTCGATTTTGGAGTGAAAAATTCGAATATGCAAATAATAGCTCATTCGAAAGAGCTCGTCGAGCTGAGTCGAATGACACCAAAATCAACGAAATTCGACTTGATTGGACAAAGTTATGCTCGTTTGTTTTAGCTCCTTACCTATGGCGCCCGTGAAGGTTTTTGATGATACTGGAGCCCCAAGTACATCCAGAGTAAGGGAGATGGGACTAGGTTTATGTTACGAGCCCAGACCCAGCGCCCGTAGACTCCCCGCGAGGCGCGTGCCGCAAAACCCCGCGCGAAGCGCGGGGTTTTGCACAAGCGCCTCGCCGACGCTCCATAGGTTTAGGTTTTTTGTGTCATAACTTTGTCTAATCTTGTTCAATCACGGTGATTTTGGTGTCATTCGACTCAGCTCGTCGAGCTCTTTCGAATGAGGTATTATTTGTATAAAAAATTTTTTATTCCAAAAATCGCCCCTTTGGATCTTTGGTTTTTAGGGGTCTATATCTCGGTCCAATCAAGTCAGATTTCGTTGATTTTGGTGTCATTCGACTCAGCTCGACGAGCTCTTTCGAATGAGCTATTATTTGCATATTCGAATTTTTCACCCCAAAATCGAGCTTACTCCCCCCTATGGTTTTTCAATTTTTCGGGACCTATAACTCGGTCCAGAATCATTTCCTAAAGTAGGGAGTGGTACCATTCGACTCAGCTCGTCGAGACGAATCAAATGACATATGTCACATCCCGAACTTTTACCACCGGTACACTACACTATATCCATTTTTTTTTATCGTTAGAGTTCATCACAATGATGATTTTGTTTTAAACACGAGTTTTATCTATTGTGAAAAAAATTTTTGCTGATAAATATATTTGGAAGAGGGGCATTACACCGTCTAGACAAAATATTGTCTGGACATTGGAGTAAAATACCGTCCACTTTTACAGACTATAAATCCGATTTATGTCGATATAGTGGTATCCTAACAGGTATCTTTAGAGCCCTAAGGCTATTAGGTATTTGTTAAAGCTAAAAAATTTTATTTTAAAATTGGGTTTACTTCAAGCGAAAATGGTGTTTTACTCTACTTGTGAATGGTTGTTTTGCTCGAACGGTGTTTTGTCCTTACACCAATATCTGTGCGTAGTACATACATATTAGTAAGAGAATATCGAGAAAAGATTATTTAAAATAAAAATAAAAATAATTTAAGAGAAAAATTTATTTCTAAATTTATTTTTAAATAATTTATTCAAAATTTAATAGAAAATTTCAGTAGAAAAAGTGCATTTCTCGACCTTTGCTCGTTTATATTTTTGGAGGAAAAAAATTTAAAATTCAAGTAAAGCTAAAAATAATCTGAATAGATTTTTGGTTAGAAAAATGGAAAATTGATTTGTTTGTTTAAACTATAATATAAAAAATTTTTTTGATAAAATTAAAAAGCAAAAATGGCAAAAATGTTTGTGTGTTTTGGATTTTAATTTAAATAAAAAATTTAAAAAAATTAAAATTTATTATTTTTAAAATATTTAAGAATACGCTGTTTCAAAAAAAATTTTTAATTTTTAGGATTCTTGACAAGGTCGTCTATTATCAATTAATTTTTAATTCATTCTGTGATTTGAATATTATCTTTTCATCGGAAACCTGTTGTAAATGTCAGGAACACAAAGAAATTTTTTTTAAGTAATTTATTTAAAAATATATTTTATGAATTTGTAAAAATAATTAAATTATAATGGAATAATTAATTTTTTAATTAAAAAATAATTCTTCGAAAAAAAATTTTTTTTCACCAATCCCCAATATTAAAATTTTGTGGAAAATAATAATTAGAACCAACACCTCTTTTCTTTATTTTCCAATCCCACTCAATCGAATCATACTTGGCGCTAGTTGATGGAATATTTATTTTTAATCTTCGAAACTATTAAAAAAAAATTTTTTTTTAATTTTTATTTTAAAAATACCTCAAATATATTATTTTCAAGTTGTGTTATATCAATTGGATTTGTGAAAATTACTTGGTACTTAAATTAAAAATTAAAGTTTTTTAGTCAAACTAAGTTTATATAATTTTCAAACTTTTTAAAAACAAGTTTTTGGAAAAAGTTTTAAACTTGTTTTTCTGAACTTGTTTCTTACAACTTGTTTGTCAACCTTGTTTTCTTGTTTTCTTATAAACTTGTTTCTTTCTTAAAACTTGTTTCTCAAACTTGTTTTTCTAAAAACATGTTTGTTAAAAACAAGCTTTAAACTTGTTCTAAAACAAGTTTATAAGAAAAAAAGTTTATAATTGTTTAAAACTTTGTTTTTAGAATTGTCTAAACTTTGTCTTAAAAACAAAACGTTATAAACTTGCTTTATTATAAACTTGTTTTAAAAACAGGTTTAAATTTTTTGAAAAATGTCTCCAAAACAAGTTTTTACGAACAAGTTTTAGTAACAAAGTTTTATTTTAATTAATAATTAAATTACATATTTTAATTTCTCCACCGTTTCACTTGTTTTAAGCAATTTACTACAATTATGTTCTACTCTGATTCTTATTTTATGGCTATATCTATTAATAAAAATTTCTTAAAAAATTCTTAAAACTATTAATTAATTAATTACTTTAATGGCTCAAATTTTGCTTCATCTTCTGTTTGATTACGTGATGGACAACTTCTTAAATTAAAGCAATTTTTTAATTTTCACAAAATTTAATTTTTAAATTACCGTTCGTGTAAAATGCCGCCAATAATGAATGACCCTTCTGACTTGTTAAAATTTATTTCACTAAAATAAATATTTTTAAATATTTATTTTTATATTAATTACCTTATAATTTCAGATTCGACTGTGCACAATCGTCCAATTGCTCCCTTTAATTAATTCTATCAAGTTATTTATTAATAAAACATACTCCTGGGTGGTCCTGAATTAATTTTATATTTATTTCTACATTTTCATCTGAAGAATCACATTTAAAACAGCCATCAATTAGAACAAGAACTTTATCTGTTTTTGTTTAATTTTCAAGTTTATTTTACATGAGTTTTAAATAAACTTGTTTTGAGTTGTAAAATTGTAAATTTTTTAATAATTTATTCAAGTTTATTTTACTTTGTAATTTGAACAAAATAAACTTATTTAAGATCAATCTTAAATAAGTTTATTTAATGGCAAACAAGTTTATTTAAAGCAGAACTCAAAACTTTTTTTAAACAAGTTTATTTAACTACAAAGTTAAATAAACTTGTAAACTTGATAAGTTGTAAAAATTACAAGTTCAATCTTAAATAAGTTTATTTTTTTAAGCTTAATCTTTAAAAAAGTTTATAAGGTACAAGTTTAATAAACTTTGTATTTTAAATAAACTTGTTTAAGATCAAGCTGAAATTTCCCTTATTTCCAAGGTTGCAAGTTTATTTACATTTTACAATTAATTTTTATATTGGATTTACACTTACAATTTTTAAAATTGTAAACTTAATTCAAGATTACAATTTTAAATTAAAACCTTGCATATAATTCTTTTGTTTTTCATTTATTGTTTTGGGATTATTTCTTTCCATAACAGGAAGGGCACCTTTAACACCATAACGCCCAAAAAAGTTAACTTTGGCGCAATAAGCTATTTGACTTTAAAAATTAATTCATTAAATAAATAAAAATTTATTTACTCATAATATTCTGCTCCACAATTATTTGAATGGGCTAATTCATCAAAATCGGATAAACAATTAAAAAATTCCTCTTTTTCGTGTTTATCATTTACAATAATCTTTAAAAATAAATTAAATTCTTAAAATTTATTTTTTTAAAACATTTCCATTTGCAATTTCTCCATCCAACAAACACTGACCAAATTCGTTAAATTCTATATTCAAATTACCATGAATTTTCTGGATTTTTTAAAAATTAATTTCTACTATTTTTAATAAATTGTCTAATATTTTAAAAATTTTTAAAATTTAATTAAAATCATAAAAATTAATTTTAACCTCTCCATTGTTGTCTAAACAATTTACAATGTTTATGCTTAAAATTATACTAATTTTTAATTTAATAAACTTATTTATTTCATATAATAGTTAAATAAACTTAATTTGATTTGTAAAGACTTCCAAGTTTATTTTACTTTGTAATTTAAATAAACTTTTTTAAGATTAAACTTGACAAGTTTGTTTAAATGCAAAACTTGATTTTAAATAGGTTTATTTATCGCAGAGTAAAATAAACTTTTTAAACTTTAATTTAAATAAACTTTCCAAGTTTAATCTTAAGTAAGTTTATTTAAATGAAAGTTTCAAGTTTATTTTTAAACTAGATTAATTAAACTTACAAACTTTAAAAAAAGTTTTAAGTTTGTCTTAACCAAGTTTATTTAACTTTGCAGTTTAAAAAAGGTTTATTTAGCCTTGTAGTAGTTAAATAAACTTGTTTTAAGTACAGTCTTGTAATTTTGTAAAATTAAGTTTGCAAGTTTATTTAATTATCGTTTAATTTTTAACTTATTGTTAATATTAAATTTTACATTAATGCAATTTGTAATATAAAAAATAATATTATACTAACACTAAGTAAATACATTTTAATTATTTTTTAAATTTTAGAAATATAAAACTAATAATTTTAAAATAATTTTCACTATTTAAAATTTTCATTTTTTATTATAAATTAATCATCAAATATTTTTAATATTTACATACATTTTTAATATTATATTTAGTTAAAGGTTATGACTCGACATTAAAGTATTAAAATTAAATTTAATTTGATTTAATTTGAATTACACGTTACACATAGGGTTGTTGGATAATGCGAAATCTTTGGACAACTGGATCCGATATCTGAAATTTTTATCTGAAAATTCCTGGATACCCGTACTTTTTCGGATCTGCCAACTTTCCACATAATTGAGGGAATATACCTGTACTCTATTTTCTCAATCTTCTTCCATAGACTAATTTCCATTCAGTTGTAGTTTGAAAAATAATTACCCAGAGCGATTAATCGAGAAAAGTCGGTAATTGTGTACCTTCATTTTCTTTTTATTTCTACAATATTCTTTTTTAATTTATCCAAAAATTGATCAAAAATTTGTCATTGAATATTATTTTTTATATATTTTTTATTCCAGTTTTTATTTTTTCGCGCGAATCGCATTCATTGCCTTTCAATATTAATAAACTTGAAGTAGTAATCAATCAAAAAATTTTTTAGATAAATTAATAAATTAACTCTTCTTCTTTAATATTTTGCCTAAAAATTGGTGGTCTGTCCCGAATTCTCGCAATTTTTCCCAAAATTCCGAAAAAACTTTTTTCCTTTATTTTTCTTTTTTAAACCAAAATTCTTTTTAAATTTCCTCTCTCAAGTTCTCTCCCTCTCTCAAGTTCTCTCTCCCTCTCAAATTCTTTTTAACCGATCACTTGCCTGGTTCAGGACAAACATTAATCAACCCCTCTAAAATTAAAACTAGACATGATACATATTTTATATAAAAATATTTTTTTCTCTCTAAAAATGACAGGTTCAAATGGCCTAGAAAAATAGAAAAATTAATGGTTTGATTAGATAGTGAAATTAAAAATAGTTAGAGAATGTAGGAATAAAGGCCAAGCAAAAAATTTTTACATCATGCATAGAAATTGGAAAAAAAATTTTTTGAGTGGGAACTTACACCTTCCACGTCCATGTATTCGCAAGACGGATTTTTATATGGCAATGATTTCTTCCTTGGATCCCTTTGATCCACTTGGATCCCCTTGAATATTTTTATATAAAATATTATCATGTCTAGTAATATCAAGATTAGAGATCGGACTGAGGGTGTCATATAAGAATTGAGGTTGATATCTCGAAAAACCCAGATTCTTGATAAATCTCGGATAACTAAAAATTTTGTTGTAGGAGAATCGCACGAGATATCTTGAAAATATAGAAAAATATCTATCTCGATAACCGAGATTTTTGATCGAGATATCGTCTCGGTCCGATCCCATTTCGATTTTCCGTGGTTAAAAAGAAAATTTTTTTCTTAACACACCAAACACTAAAAATATAAAAAACATAACTAACAAATTATTTTTTTATAAAAAAGCACTTAAATATTAAAAACATAAACAAACAATGCCGTCAAAGAATTTCAGCCTTATAAACTCATAAATTCAAAAAAAAATATTTGCCAACAATTTTCTATATTGAAAAAAGCACTTTTTTTAGTGTTCGCACAAGCGTTGTGTTCCCTTGGGTGGCGGCAATGCCGTAAAACATGTCCTAAACTATAAGGAATGCTTTGCTCTTAAAAATTTTTATTTTTATTGACCAACATATTTATGCTTTTCACTTGCTTGGATTTTTTCTCTCGGATTTTTTCAATGTTTTTTCTGGATACACCATTCCACCGCAGTCACGTTTACCACAGGGCTTATAACTAGCTTTAGAAAAGTCGGCTCTAGACATCAGAGGTCGATCTGAAATGACGAAGGTGCCGGAAATCGAAACTGTCGAAAATCGGAAATGGCTCAAAAGTCGGAACTCGGAAATCTTTACAAAATTTCTGAAATCGCAAAGAAAAAAACGTCGGAAATCGGAAGTCGGAAATCAGAATTCCTATCGACCTCTGCTAGACATGTTTGGTATCTTTCTACGCCTCTCCTCGAGCCTCGTCGGAAGGTACCCAAATCGACTCTTTCTGGCATTCCTACAAGTAGACCAACCTTAGACATGTCTTGACGTCGAATTGTGCTTGCGGTCAACTGACCCCCTGTTCTTTCCGTTACCGCAGGGCTTATAACTAGCCTTAGAAAAGTCGGATTGGACATTTTTGGTATCTTTCTACGCCTAACCTCGAGCCTCGTCGGAAGGTACCCAAATCCACTTTTTCTGGCATTCCTACAAGTAGACCGGTCCTAGACAGGTCTTCACGTCGAATTGTGCTTGCGGTCAACTGACCCCCCTGTTCTTTCCGTTATTTTTTCCCTTCTCTTGGCCATGCTGTGCTTTTCACACTTTTCTAGTTTTACATTAAAGCTTTTTTCCAGTATTTCTCTTTTTTATTGTTACTTTTCTTCCTTATTTGTTAGCCTTTTATTAACACAAAATCGCTACTCTTTTTCCCTATTTATATTTTTTCAAGCATTTTAAACGGCAAAAAAATAATAAAAGAAAAATTTCTGTTAAATTAAAGCCTTTTTAAATTTAATTATAAAATAATAAAAATAACTGGAAATTCTCTATTAAATTTAAATAGGCCTGGATAGTTAAATAAAAAGAATAGGCAATTTTTATTATTCTTTTCAAAAAAATCTTTTTTTAGATTGCTTGAGAATTCTGGGAATTTTTAGGAATTTTTAGGGTTTTAAATAGTTATTGTTATATATTTTTTATTTAAAAGGCTCATTCACACACACAAGGATAAAGAAATCCAGAGTAGAATTCACAAGAATTTTTTATTTTCGATTTTAGGAGAAAAAGACTAGAGTTTCACCGGAAGTTCCGGTTCCGGTTCCGGAAACCGGAACTTAAATTGGTCCGGTTCCGGTTCCGGTCAAAATTTCAGTTCCGGTGAAACACTAATAAAGACACACTAACTAAAGACTGTCTGGAAATTATGATTCTCGGGAAGTTGGGACTTCAAAAGCCCAAATACACTCGGCAGCTCGACTTGAAAAAAGATAACTTTTAAGAAAAAGATAACTTTTTCGATTTTGATTTTTTACCGATGCTTCTGGCCGGTCTATAATACACACTAGAGATCGAGATTTTTGAAAAAATACCAACGTCTGTTCCTTGGTTCTTGGTTTGATTTATTGACCTGGGCTTGGTCTTGGGCCTGTAATCCAGGGAAAACCCAGGCCCAGGAAAAACCCAGCAAAGTCAGAAAATGCCTGGGCCTGGACTCTGGGTACAGGAAGAACCCAGTCCTTGATCCAGCCCCAGCTCGATCTTTAATACACACATAAGAGAATGCCTACAAGCTTGAATTCACGAGAATTTCCATTCATGGTTTTTTAGAGATTGGGAAATTCAGTAAGTCAGAAAAGACCCTTAATACAGCTCATAATTTATCTAATAGATCAACCATCTTCTTCTCACTTTAATTACCAAAGTTGCATTTTTATAATCAATTTGTTCCTCTCCTCTCCTTTCTTCTCAATTTACTCTAAATTAATTTTCTAAATATTTTCTATACTTTTAAAACTTTTCTTTAAAATTTTTCACAAAATCAATTAGTCTTTTTTCTTCCAAATTAACCCGTTAACTTCTCTTTCTCTCCTCCATTCCCTTCAAAAAAAAGTTAGTCGCCAAAGTCATCGCCGATTGCGGCCTTTGTTTTTACTTTTCACTATCAATTATCAACAAATGACAGCCCCAAACAAAAAAAATTATTTGGCTTTTTAATAGATGCAATAAAGAAATTTAATGACAAATAGAGAAAAACCGATAAATGAGAAAGGAATGCGACAAAGCAATGTTTGTTGTTGGAAGTACTTTTTTCCTTTCTATTCTCGTTGGGTAGGGTTGTTTGGGCGCTGGGGTGTTAGGGCGCGCGCCTATAAAACTGGCATTTGGCCGATACCTAAAATTTCTGAAAATTTTCTCAAATTTCTTTAACATCCTTGGCTATCTTTTCCAAAAATTTCAGAATTTTTGATCAAATATTTTTCAAGTTATAGTCGATAAACCTTGAAAACAGGTCATTTCTTAGAGAAGCAACACCTTTTTGGCCATAATTTCTGAAATTCTGGTCCAAAAATTCTGAAATTTTTGGAGAGCTTAGATAAACATGTGAGGGCAGTTTTTGCAAAATTTTGCATTTTTAGCTGATAATTTCTTCATTTTATAAGCTTGCGCCCTACCATTCCCGCGCCCTAACTACACCGCGTCCTAACATCCCCGCGCCCTAACGACCTCGCGCCCTAACGACCCACTCCCTTCACGTTTGCTATCAAATAGTTTTTTTAAAAAAAATAATTTTTTTAGTAGAAGCAGCTGCTTCTACTAAAATATATTTTCCAAATAATAAACGTTTTTTTTCCTTCCGCAATGCACAAACTAGCACACGCTTTTTCTCTCTCTCGATTTTTAACAATAAAAGCGCATGTTTATGCCTTCCTATTTTCCCTTAAAAACAAAAATAAAAAAAAATTTCCCCCCGATTTCCCACTTAAAGTATAAAAAATGACGAATTATGAATAAAGTTTTTGGGGTAGAAAAATGGAGAATAAATGAGTCAGTTATTTTGCGCGTTCCTTATTTTTATTTTTTCTTCTTATTTTTAAGTTAAATTTTTATTTTTAAAAAATTCTTTTATTTTAAACTTTATTTTTTTTAAAGAAAATTTTATTTAAAAATAAAAATAAAAAAAATTTTTTGTTTTTAAAAACAATTTTTCTTTTAAAAAATATTTTTTTTTATTTTATTTTGAATCTGCGTGAGGTGCAAAAAATTCTTAAATTTCTCCCCTTCCCTATCTCCCCTCACCCTCCCCCCTATTTTGAGTCTCTAATTAATTTTCTTTTTATTATTTTCTGCCTCGAAATGGTCAAATTTCCTTTTTTTTATGTTGATTTCCTTTCTAATTCTTTTTCCCAATTAACTTTAAAAAAATAAATTCGATTTATGTGACATTATGTTGATTTAATATTTTTAGACCCCAAAGCTATTCCTCGAACCTTAATCCTCGAACCTCGATTTCGGGTCCAATTTTGTTCCTCGATCTCGGTAATCCTCGATTTTTGATTTTTCAAAAAACCCCAGACCCATCGCTAAACACCTTCGACTTGAACGGTGTGTTGTTCGGACGGTGTATTGCCCTTACGCGATTAAATGTTAATTAACGTTAAATTAACAAATAAGTGTTTAATTATGAAAAAAAAATATTTTTTTGCAAAAAATATTTATTTAATATATACCTTTTTTCTATATGTTTGCTAAAAATAAAAATTAATTATTAATTCTAAAATATGTGTGTGTGTGTAAAAATGTAAATCCAATTTTTTTCCATTTTATGTATTTAATACTCCTCTAGAAAAATTTTAATAATATAAAATTAAATACCTACCTATATTAATTTCTTCGTTATTTTAATTTAAATATAGTATATTTTATTTTATTACCGTATAGCCTGTATTAATTACCCTCCCTCAAATAATTACCCCACATTCATTAATTATCCCATACAAGCAATAGATTGGAACAATAATTACCCCATAAAAACGCCCTAAAACAAATTCAAATTTCAAACCTCGTAGCCAAAACTCGGTTCTGGTCGAAATCTGGTTCTCGAAATAAAGAGCATTTATTTTTTTATGCTGACACATTCCCTGATGATATGTACATAATATGCATCCAAAAACCGGACTTGCGGAGAGCCTCGAATTTAATATTTTAAAATTTAATTGAGAGATTTTTGAATAAGATTTCCCTTTTAGTTCTCCGAACTTTAATGCGTAAATACTCTTATTCTTTTTTCCCCATTTTATTTAAAGTTCATTTTATTTTATCGCGAAAAATTTTAAATACATTTCAAAATTGATTTTTCTTAATAGGATTATACACACAAAACACTTGACAAACTTTTAAAACCTTGCGCATTAAATATAAATTTATTCTTTTCACATTTTCAATAAAATTCACAAATTCGTCGAAAAAAATAAAAAAAAATTTTTTTTGACCCTCTATTTAAGATACATTCCTTCCTCTGTTTAAGAGAGACCTCATTATAAGATTATGCAATATTAGAGGTTTTGGACCTGAAATCGAGGCTTAAGGATTAGTATTAAGAAATCGAGGCTTAGAATTAGCGCTTAGGTAGCTTCCCCCCACTAAGTAGCCCAAAAAATAAAAAGTCTCTTAAATAGAGGTCTCTTAATAGACTAAAAAAAAGTCTCTTAAATTAACTCATTTAACCTCTATTTAAGAGAGGGTAGCCACTGGGTTGGGGAAGCTATCTAAACGATACACTCTATTTAAGATACACCTCATTATAAGAGACTATTTTTCACCCTCGAGGGTGTCTCTTATAATATGTATCTTATAATGAAGTTCGATTAGTAGAGAATCGGTTTTACGCAGATTAATTAAGTACAATTTAAATCTTTTTTTAATATTTTGGATTAAAAAGCGTGAGAGTTTTCTCATCTTTCGTACTAAATCCCGTCTAGTAAAGTGCTTATTTGATGAATAATTCTATTTACTTCATCTTCTTTATTTATTTTTTTTTCTTTTATTTTTGGTACTATCCTATAATACCAAAACGCCAAAATACCAAACTGTATCAGGGAAAATTTTGTCTCATTTTTTTTTCGAAATTTCGTTTCATTTCGATTCTTAAAAAAAATTTTTTTTTCGAGCATCCCTCATAGCAATACCAAATAAATTCCATATTGGAACAAACTTTCAAATTAATTAGAAAAATATCCCTCCGTTGATGGAGATGTTATTCTAATTAGTCAGGTTTGGTATTTCGTCAGCTTTTGGAGGGTTGGGTATTTCGGCGTGTGGGTATTACGGCGCGCTTCGTTTTTTTTTAAATTTTTTTTCTTTACTTAAAAATTTCCTTTTTTTAGTTAATTTTAACAATTAAAAATAAATTTAATTTTAACAAAAACTGCTTTCATTTGTTTTGATAGACAGTCAAACTGGACGTCATTTCCCAACGTCAAAAACAGCTTAACAGGAGCAACAGCAGCAAAAAGCTGTCATCTAAAAGTCCACAGCAACAAAACTACAAGACGTCCACAAATAGCCGAGGTGGGGAATGAACGGTATCTAGTAGATTAATGGTACAGTCTGACCTCCCTTATAAGTCGGACCTCCCCCCTTGGTGTGAAAAAAGAGTCTCTTATAACGAGGTGTATCTTAAATAGAGGGTATCACTTTTGCAGCCCTCGACTTCACCTATAAGGTACACCATTGCTTTAGCTAGTCTCTTATAATAAGGTGTATCTTAAATGGAAGGTATCGCTTGGGCAGCCCTCCCACTCAATGGGCAACTAAGTTTTGAAAACCTCGTTATAAGGTACTATTTTTCAGTCCAAGACCTCCCTATAAGATACACTAGGAGTTTAAAAGTCTCTTATAATGACAATACATCTTAAATAGAGGGTATCGCTTGGGCAGCCCTCTTACCCAGTACCCAACTAAATTTAAAAACGTCTCTTAAATAGAGGTGTATTTAATATTGGGGGTCTCTTATAGTGAGGTTGACTGTACTATAATTTTTATAGCAGGGGTGGGCGCATTGCGTTTTGCGTTTTTTGCGTTTTGCGTTGATTTTTGGCCTTGCGTTGCGTTTTGCGTAAATTTGGCCAAAATTAACGCAAAAAACCGCAAGAAATATACCCAATCTGAGGGCAAAATCTTGAGGAAATCAGGCTTATGACTTTCCAAAATTCTCAAAATTTTCGCCTGCGGCGCTTAAAAAAGGAAGAAATTTGGCTTCTTGGTCCCAAATTTTTCAAAATTTTCGCCTGCGGCGCTAAAAGTAGATCATGGAACTGCTCAGAAAAATATCAGTTCAATATCTTGAGCTCCGATCTCCCTTTATCCCTCCAAATCCCCTGATATCCACGGTATCAATTGAGAATTACAGATAGGCATTTATCCTCCGCTACTCCCCAACCCATCCGACATTCATCAGTAATCGCATGGTATCTTTTTAAATTTCCTTGATCCCTCCAATTTTCCTCGATCCCTCCTTCATAATCGCTCTAAATCCTCTAATATCCTTCATAATCCCATTGTATCCCCTTCAAATCATTACCCATCCAACTTAATTGTATCACAAGATCAACTAGGACTCACTGACTTATAGTAATACTTCTATTTTAACTGAAAAATGGCTAATACTCGATTTAAAATTTTTTTTCAGAATTTTGCGTTCTTGCGTTTTGCGTTTTGCGTTTTTTGCGTTTTGCGTTGATTTTTGGCCTTGCGTTGCGTTTTGCGTTTTGCGTTTTTCACGATTGCCTCTTGCGCCCACCCCTGTTTCATAGTAGTATCTATACTAGGGTTAGACCACCGTCCGAGGAAGCTCACCGGGGCTCCCACCCCTGAACCCGAATTTCCCACACCCCCCATTCCCTGTAAAATTGGTCACCGTCCCGAAAGGTCACCGCCCCAAAATGTCACTCCCCCAAAAGATCACCGCCTCAAAAGGTCACCTTCCCAAAAGGTCACACCCCAATTTATACCCAAGTGTCCCCCAAGTATTAAAAAAATAATTTTTATTTAGATAGTGCACTTGGCCTAACAAGAAAACATTCGCATCGGTCATCACAGCATAACTTTCATAAAAATTCTTCTCATTACCAACAACAACAATCCCCACAACAACAACAATTAACTAACCGGCTTAGACATCACAGTAAAGAAAGGAATTATTCCCCCTCTTCTTCTGTTGTTAGCACAAGCACTAATAGTTCAGTTGTTTCATTTGATCAACAACCTAGAGAGCATCGTAAAGAGCACTTTTTACCTGCCGATAAATTTGCTCTTTGTTTCCAGGCGAGTTTAATAAAAAAAAAGAAAAATTTTTGGAGGGAGGGGGGTGTGGGGGGTTAAGAGGAAGTAAAGAAGAGGAAGTTTAGATCAATTTTAGAGTAAAAATAGATCATTTACACAAAATACTTTAATCCTTCAAATAATTTAATTAAATCTGGGATTGATTCTTTGACCCTTATTCTGAAAAAAAAAATTTTTGAAAAAATTTTTTTCTGAAAATTTTCTGAAAATAAAATTTTCATCGATCAGACAATTCACCGTCAGACAATTCACCGATTTTCCCTGTTGTCCTTATTTTGGGGTGTTATCGACTAGAGGCTTTTGGGGAAGTGAGGGATGGACTCAAAATTCTTTTCATTTATAGAATTAAAATTTAAAAAAAAATATTTTCAGAAAGCCCTTATTGTTGGAAGAAAATTAGACGATAAAATTCGGCTGGGCTCGGCCCATTCCATGGCTGATAAGCAAGTCCAAGGCCAACAGGCCAAGGCAACAACAATTGAAAATAATGCGAGTAATGGTGGAAATACAGCTGTTGAATTAGAATTTAGGCCTAACAACGGGGTATTTTTTTAATTTTAAAAAATTTTGAAATTTTTAAAATTTTTAAAAATTTTTCAAAAATTTTAAAAATTTCAAAAAATTTTCAAAAAAAATTTTTTTTCACAGGCAAATTCTATTGGAGATTGTAATTTAAACAACGGAAGTCAATCAGCTCGTAGTAAATCCCCTGGTGGACATATAATAAATAAAATCTCCAATTTTGCTCGAGGTAAATACAGAAACAGTCTTAGCGAAAAACAAACAAATTCTGTCAACTCTGACGACAAAGTTCGAAAGGTTTTTTAGTTATAGAAAATTTTATAATTTAAATTAAATTTTTAGGACATTAATCGGGAATTGACCAGATGCCGGGAAAGTGGAGAAACAAGACTGGATTTGAATTCATCGGAGGTAAAATTTATTTATTGATTAGAGGGGGTATCCAGAGAAAAATTTAATTTTTAAGCAAACTAGGGCACGGATACTGATTTTTGTATCCGTTTCCGGATATTTACGACGGATACAGACGTATGTCCGCAGGCATTTTTACAATATCTGTATCCATGTCCTAGTCTGTTTTTAAGTAATAGAGTAGCTCCGGGTAGGCATCGAATCTGCGAACTTCAGATAACCTGCGTCTTCCTGGTAGTTGAAGATGGGTCAGGATACCTGAAATCTGAAACCCCTGACTTTTTTCTTATTGTTAGCCTGAAGCCATGTTTGACATTTTTCCAACCAGACCCATCCTTTGCTTTACCGACTCATTTGTCAGCTACCGGGACGTTGCTTTCACCTAGTCTCTTTTTTAATAGATCTTAAACCTGCCTAGTAAACGTTTTAAATGTTAGCTGAATCTCCCATCTTCCTTATTTTTACTTTTATTTTTCAGCTTACAAGTATTCCCAATTCAATACAATCATTAACACAACTTACAGAATTATTTCTTTATAAGGTTTTTATATTTTTTTATTTGAAAATTTCTTTTCTTTTTTTAGAACAAATTATCTAGTTTACCTCCAGCTGTTGGCCAATTAATTAATTTGCGTATTTTGGGTCTTAGCGAGGTTATTTTTTAAATTTTTAGAATTATTATTACTCAAGGTCGGACCTCATTATGGGATACACCCTTTGGCTGAAACATTTTATATTATAATGAGTTGTCCGTTAAATAGGGAGTATCGTTTTCATAACCTTACCCACCCAGTAGCTAGTCAACTTTTAGAAAATGTCTCATATAGAGTCGTGTAGGTGGGTCGGAACAGTCAGAGGTGTCGGGAATCGGCAGAGCCGGAAATCGGAAATGGCTCAAAAGTCGGAAATCGGGAATCAAAATTTTTTTCTGAAATAGGAAGAAAAAAACGCCGGAAATAGGAATTCCGTCCCACCTCTGATAGAGCTGTGTGGGTCTCTTAAATAGAGAGGTTTAGTATTGGGGCGTTCTTATAATGAGATCCGACTTGTCTAACTTTTCAAAAAACATTTTTCTTAAAATTACTTTCAATTTTTTAAAGAACTGTTTGTCAACACTTCCAGATACTCTTTCTTCCTTAAAGAAATTGGAAACTTTAGATTTACGGCATAATAAAATTAATGAGGTTTTAAATAATTTCCTAAATAAAAATTGATTAAAAAAATTTTTTTAAAGGAAATTCCTTCAGTTGTTTTCCAAATGGAATCATTGGAAACGTAAACTTTAAAAAAATTTTTATAAAAAAAAATTTTTTTCCAGGCTTTGGCTTCGTTATAATAAAATTAGAACAATTTCACCAAACATTAAGTAAATTTTTTTTAAATTATTTTTGTGGGTTATTCGAAAATTCGATTTTATTTAGACAAACTTAAAAAACCATTCTGTCAATTTTTTAACCATTTAACAAGGGAGCCTTCCAAACTGACCAAAAAATTTTAAATAAACCCAACAGCTCCAAAAGGCTGAAACTTTAAGCACCTATAACTTTTCGATTTGGGGGTTGGAGCCAAAAAACCTAAAAATTGGCAATAGGTTATCGACCATGCTCTACACGATGGTATAATTTTTATTAAAAAATTTATGGTCACAGTTCGGAAGGTTTCCTTGTAATCCATGGAAGGGTCGAGCTACCCAGAACCTGTACTTTCCCTGCCCTTTTAGTTTTCTTTTATAGGGTATTTGTTTGAAGGAGTCCTTTACTAGAAACTAATTAATTTGCCCACAGATGTCCGCTTAAATGGTAGAGGGATATAACCCAGGGTTTGGGTTTTCGAGTCTGGCCGACATTCAAGTCATTTTTTCGGACCTTATTTTTATCGGGCCGACCCGACCGAGTCTTTTTCAGGCCAAAATTCGATGCCCGATTCGATCTTTTGGGCCGGACCGGACCTTCAACCCTTGAGTTAACCCACAATTACCTTTTCTTTTTAGTCAAAAAATTAAAAAAAATTTTTTCAGGTGCCTAAAACGTCTAAAAATGCTTGACTTGCGTGAAAATAAAATAACAGAATTGCCAACTGTAATGTCTGAAATGAAATGCCTTTCTATTTTATTGCTTTCTTCGAATCATTTAAAAGCTATACCTGAAGGTTTTCTTTTAATTTAAAAAAATCTTGAAAAAAATTTTTTTTAAAGAAATTGGGCAATGTTCACAATTAACACAGCTAGATTTACAACACAATGAACTTGTTAAATTGCCAGAAAATATTGGTTTCTTTTTTAAAATAATTTTTTAAATTCTCTCTTGTCCAGTTTAAGCGTCTCTAAATTTGTTTGTTGGTTTTTCTTTGAGTTTCAAAGTTGAATTTCTATTCATTAATGTTTTTTGTATTCGGGATTACGACAGTGGGCCTAGAACCATCCCAAGGGCATCACGGATTAACAGGGTTGCCACGGGTTACTCGAAGCCTGAACTCGACCCGATTTCTTCCCTTTTAAGAGCTTAATAACTGGCTCGACTTTTTCTCTCGACTCATGACATCTGGTATCCAATGACTGGATTTTAGCGAGTTTATAATGGAGCATTTATCAATCTTTTCCTTGAATTTTACTGTGGGACTCACAAACTGGAAAAGAGCCAAATTTTTCAGTAAAAATTATATTTTTATTTCTTTTTTTAAAGGTTTATTAAATTCTCTTAAACGACTTGGTATTCGTTACAATCATTTAACTGAATTGCCTAATTTATTATCACAATGTACTTTAATTGATGAATTTGTTGTTGAAAGTAATAAACTTCAAGCTTTGCCTGTAAGAAGAAAATTTTTTTGATTTTTTTAAAATTTTTTGAATTTTAAGGATGGAATTCTCGCTTCATTTCCAAATTTAAAAAATATTAATTTGAGTAGAAATCAATTAAATGCTTTGCCACAAGGAGGGTATGAAATGGCTGTGGTAAGGAAAATTTTTAAAAATATTTTTTTTATTTGTGGTCTATAATCAAAATAATTTAACCAATAAATTGATTGGATGTCCTATATTCTCTTTAAATTTGGGACCTTTTTTAAATTTCTCATTAAAAAATTTTTTTAAAAATAGATGGAAAATGTCTCTTTTATGCTACGCTTACATAAAAATCGCGCGCGACACGCGACAGAAAAGATAATGGAAAAAGAGGAGAGAAAAGTCGCCGGCGATTTTGTCGCTTTTTTTGCGTGCTTACATAAAAAGCGACTTCCGCCGGCGACTTGTCGCGCGCGACTTTGTCGCTTTTTTGAGTGCTTACATAAACCGCGACTTCCGCCGGCGACATGTCGCGCGCGATTTTGTCGCTTTTTCGTGTGCTTACATAAAATGCGATTTCCGCCGGCGACATGTCGCCGGCGACACTTTTTTTGATTCAAACATGTTTGAATTTTTGGCGACACTTTTTTGCGACATGCTATTTCTCGATCATTTCTGATCCGATTTTCAAACTTTAAAAAGATTCTGAAAGTTCAGTTTATTCTCTATCGATCAATATAAATTTTATATTTTTAAAGTTAAATCTTATGGGTTAAAATTGATTTTGAAAAAGGTATACTTTTTGCAAAAAATATTCTTTTTTTTCGATATTTTTGAGATTTTCGAGATAAAAAAGTATTTATATCATAACTTTTTTATCAATCGGTCAAAAATTCTGATTTTTTTATATGTTGTAGAGCTTTTAATTCTCTAACAAATGATACCAAAAACATGAAAAAGTGACCATTTCTTGATGAGTAGGGCTCGTCACATATAGTTAGGGACAAAAAATTTCGGGGAAAATCGAGGCTTCAAAAAATATTTTTACGACCTAGAGCTTTTAAAAAAATTTTCTTTTGGGCCCATTAAAAAGCCCATAAAATTTGCTACAATTTAGCCTAGGCTTTTATTCTTCCAACAAAAACTCGTGAAGATGAAGGTCCTTTGAAGTCTAATTTTTTGGCATTAATCTACAAAGTTTTAGATGGAAAATCATTTCTTTTTTTTTCGATATTTTTGTATTCCTTTCCTTTTTCTTCAAAAATTTAATATCAAAGTACGCAAATACACTAAATATTTTTCCTGGTTTCCCGGTGAAAAAAAGCCGGGACCGGGTCCCGGACCCGTTCCTAACTCTAATATCAATGGAAAAATTAAAAAAACCCACAATATAAAAGCCACAATAAAATAGTGGCAACGAATTGTCCTATACATTACAGTACTCTGACTTCCACCAACGTGAAAAATAGAGATAAATAAATAAAGAAAATATAGAAGAAAAAGATAGAAAAACTAATAATTTTGTGCTTACATAAAAATCGCGCGCGATTTGCGACGTCGCTAGGCGACATGTCGCCTAGCGACGTCGCTGCTTTGTGCTTACATAAAAATTGCGTTTTGTCGCTTTGCGACAGTCGCTTTTGCGTAAGTCGCCGATTTTATGTAAGCACACAACTAGCGACTGTCGCCGGCGACATGTCGCCTAGCGACTGTCGCGTGTCGCGCGCGATTTTTATGTAAGCGTAGCATTAAGGTCCTTCTTTTGTTTTTTCCAAGCGGGTGCTATAGAAGACCCACTACCCCTCCCCAAAGAAGGGGTAGAATAATTTTTTGAAAAGTTTTTTGCGCTACAAAGGGAAAAATAATCGTTGTATAATTTTCAATTTAAATTTATTAATTTGACTTCCTCTACCAGAATCCAATTATTTGGTACCCCTCATGTCTCAATGATGGAAAAATTTTATTAAATATTTTTAAATTTATTTTTTTTTTCAGTCAGTCAATGTAGAACACAATAATATAAACAAAATACCTTTTGGTATTTTTGCCAAAGCTGGACAACTTTCAAAGCTTAATTTCAAAGAAAATGAACTTTCTTCGTTTCCACTTGATTTTGGTACTTGGATTACTTTGACAGAATTAAATATGTCAAATAATGATATTCAAGAACTTCCACCAGGTTTTTTTGAGAGGATTTTTAAATTTTTATAGAAGATAAGGACAATTAAAAGGAGGGGGACCTGCTTTCCTCCTTCTCGAACTGGGAAAAATGGAAATCCTTTGGATCACATATAGGCCGGATTACTCAATAACCGACCCTCTGGATTTTTTTCGAGCCGAAATTTCAATCCGAAGCTACCTATCCCCTTGTATCTAAGGAGTAGGGGGCATGCCCCCTCGAAATGAGTGATAAAAATTTTCTGGATGCACTCTTGTTTATACGTCCCATAGAATTTATTATTAGAACTTTCCTTGGGTTACGTAAAATTTCTCTGCTGGTCATGGGTTCGTATAGAATGAAGAAAACCCTCTTTAATTTTTTAAAAATTTTAGATATTGACAAATTAATAAATCTTGAAGTGTTGGTACTTTCTACAAACCGTTTAAAAAAGCTTCCATCACAAATTGGTTCTTTAAGAAAATTAAGAGAGCTTGATTTGGAAGAAAATGAATTGGATGGAATTCCTTCTGATATTGGGTTTTTGACGGCATTAACTAAACTTTGGATTCAAGTAAATAAAAAATTCGGCAGACCTCACTATAAGAGACCCCCAAGATTAGACTTGTTTAGCTACTGGGTGAAGGAAGATACCTAAGCGGTACATTCTATTTAAGGTATACCTCATCATAAGGGAAAAGCGATACCCTCTATTTAATTGATGCCCTCATTGTAATGTACCATTAAGCGATATCCTCTATTTAAGCTACACTCCATTATAGGGGACTATAAAGCGATACCTTCTATTTAGGATACATCTCTTTATAAGAGTCTATTAAGTGATACACCTCATTATAAGATACTATTAAGCGCTAATCTCTATCTAATAAACATCTCATTATAAGAGACGATTTTTCCAGACCCAAGGGGGTATCTCTTATAATAAGACTAACCATTTATTTTCTTTTAACAATTAAAAAAAATTTTTTTCAAGTCAAATCAACTCACTTCTTTGCCTAGAACAATAGGAAATTTATCTAATTTGGTTGATCTAAGAGTTGGAGAAAATCTCATAACTTTCATTCCAGAAGAAATTGGTTTTTACATAATTAAATTAATTTTTAAATTTGAATTTTTTTGCAGGTCATTTAGAGAATCTAAAAAGTCTATATTTAAATGATAATCCAAACTTGAATAGGTAAAAGAAAAATAATTTTTATATGGTCGGACCACACTTTAAGAGATACTCTTTCGCTATTGAATACACTTCTATTTAAGAGACGATTTTTTAAATTTGGTTGGTGATTGGGGGAGAAGCTTCCTATTATGTCCCGGTTCTTACTTATTTAATCTATTTATATTTGTCTCTCAAACTCTTGTTTGAGGTTCTAAACTTTCTTATTAAAACTAATTCAATTCAAATTAATTAAACACAAACTTTCAATAACAAATTTACTTCAAATTAATATAGTTTAGTTCGGAATAACGTAAATTTAATGTGAAACAAATTAATATTTATATGAGTTAGAAAAGGCGGGAGTTGAGTATAGAAATGGACAGACAGTTGTAAAAGTTTGTTTGAAGTTGGAATGGTTAGATAAGGAATGTTTTTGGGGAATATTTTGAAAAGGAAATGTTTAGATAAAAAGGAAGCAGATGTTTGAGGGGAATATTTTAAATTACATAAAGAAATATTTAAAGAGTTTACAATCAAGAAAAGGACGGTTTAAACTAAATTGATAAGGAATATTTGAATTATGGTTTTAGGGAAATAGGAAAACAACATTTATTTAAAATTAAAAGAAATATCAAAATACGGATCCAACACTCCTCCATCCTTTAAGAAGATCAACGGCATTATTAAGTTTATTGCATCGCGAAAGTTATTGTTGTTGGATGGTCGTTGTTATTTTTGTATTCTCCACGACCACGTGGGTAATAATTATGGAAACGGTAACGAGCCAATTCATGGCCTCTCTCACATCAATTGACGTAAAAGGAAAATTAAGCGGGAATCTTGCAGAAGTCTAGGTTGTACATGCCCGCGGCCTCCCCTCCCTTGATTATTATCTCCTCACGGTTGTTATTTTTGCTCTCAACCAACTTCTCCGCTTCTCAAATTTTTGGCGAAATTAAAAAAAAATTTTTTTTTGTATCTCCGCTTTTTCAATATTTTTTTTTACATTAAAGAATTATTTTTTTTCCATTGGTACTTTAATTTTTTAATTTATTTTCGAATTTCTTCAAGATTTGTAGTTGGGAGTGGAGGGTAGTTCTTGTAGTTTATCTCAAACAATTTTCTTTTATTTTCTCTCAACATAAAATAGAGGTGTTTTTTACCGTTTGAAAAGCTGAATTTTATTTCATTTACTAAATTAATTTTTTTTCATATTCTCCCTTCCATTAGGGGCTCTTTTTTTTAGTTTGTTGCCGTTCTTCTTTTGAAGTTTGTTGTTGCTCTTCTTTTGTAAGTTGTTGCTCTCCATATTGATATCGTGTTTTTCAAAAATTTATTGATGAGAAAATATTTTTTTTACAATCCAGAAATAAAATAAACATTGGATAATGATAATGGGCGTTTAAAGGATACAAACAGATTATTAAAAATGTAAAAATGGATATATATTTGATAACATGATAATGGAAAAGGATTATATATATATAGCTACAGAATAGAATTATTTGTATTTATTTACTCTCTCCGTTTTTAAATTTTATTTCTCCTCTTTCAACTTTATTCACGGAGGGCCATCTTTTTGAAAAAGGGATTATATTTTTATTTAACGTACTTTCATTTTCTTTATCTAGCATAAATGGGCTTACAACTCTTATTCTGGGGCTCGGAGTTCTCTCAAAACGCACTCTGCGATTTGGCGATAAATCGTTGTAATTATAATATCTAGTATTGTTTTCTCTCTCCCTACTTCTTGAACTACTGTAATCGTCATAATTTCTGTTCCTATTGTAACCGCGATTTTCTCTTTCATAATTTTCCCTTCTATTTTGCCGATTTTCATGATAATTTCGATAATCCGGTCTATGATATTGATTATTATTACGATAACGATTTTCGCTTCTCCCATAATTTTGAGGCTGGAAACTTCTAGAATTTAACTCGGATTTACGCGAATAACAAAATCTAGCAAAATGGCCTGGTTTCCCGCAGTAATAACACCTTTTATTTTCTTTTCTTTCGCTTTTGTTACCCTGTAACGTCAAAGCCTCAACTTTTTCCGATATACTGCCAATCAAAACATTATTTCCCTTCCTCGCAGAGAGGAGTAGTTCGTAATGCTGCGCTATTTCGTACGCATTAGCATAATCTGCAGGCCTCTGAGCCTTCACTTCGAATTGTAGCTCAGGAACGAGTCGATCCAAAAATTCATCTAGGAGGCGTCTTTTTATCGTATCCTCAGTTTCTCCTGATAGGGCCGTGCGAACTGTATCCGAGAGTCTGTTCGCAAATTCGAAAACTGATTCACCCGGCGCGTGCCTGCAATTAGATAATAATTGCCGCGCAATTACTTTAGTATTACCATTTTCATATTTTCCCTTTAAATATGCTAAAGCCTCCGCTAAAGTCGTAGGTGCGGGATTTATATTGTCGAATGCTACTCTCGCTTGACCGGACAGACAAAAACGCAAACGGGCCAATTTTTGCACTTCGGTAGGCTCGGTCATTAACGAAAGTATATCCTTAAATTTCTCCACCCATTTTGTAAAAGATACGGTGGGATTTCCGTCAAAATTTCCAACAAATGCTCCATTACCTAAGAATGGGTCCATAACAGAAATTTCTTGATTATCCTCCTCATTTTCCAATTCATTGCCTCGTATAGTTTCATCAGTCTCATTAATTGAGCTATCCGACTCATTAATGGATTCGTCTTCTAATTCATTAAAATCTTCCAATACTTTATTTTGTGGCAATTTTCCCATTTTTTCTTCAAACTTTAATTTAAATTCATTTAAATTATTTCTTAATTTAGTGACAGAACTTTTTGTTCCTGTCAAACTGTCTTTATTTTTCTTCATATTTTCTTCAATTAGATCGAGTCTTCCTTCCACTTGACGAAAGCTTTTCGCCACCGTTTTTTCGAAGGAGCGTAATTGAGTAAGTAAAGTTTCAAAAGTTTTATTCTCCTCAGGTGAAAAAAGATGAGGGACAAAGTCTGAACCAGACATTATTATTAGTATTTTAATCTAAATCTAAAATTTCTTGCACACAGCAGATTTGGATTTGGCACACAGCCTCTTTTAAATGCACACAGCCGTCTTATAGACGAAATTAAATTCTGAATTTCACACAGAAATTCAATGCACACAGCGAGTCTCACACAGAGATCTCAAAAAGCACACAGCGAGTTTTCACACAGAAAACCCAAAAATGCACACAGCAGGATTTCACACAGAAATCCTAAAAATTATTTTTCTTTAAAGCACACAGCTAAGATATTTCACACAGAAATATCCTTCTTTTAATTTATTTTAATTTTTTTTAGATCTCCGTTAATCGCAACGGGTTCGTGGCACCAATATTATGTCCCGGTTCTTACTTATTTAATCTATTTATATTTGTCTCTCAAACTCTTGTTTGAGGTTCTAAACTTTCTTATTAAAACTAATTCAATTCAAATTAATTAAACACAAACTTTCAATAACAAATTTACTTCAAATTAATATAGTTTAGTTCGGAATAACGTAAATTTAATGTGAAACAAATTAATATTTATATGAGTTAGAAAAGGCGGGAGTTGAGTATAGAAATGGACAGACAGTTGTAAAAGTTTGTTTGAAGTTGGAATGGTTAGATAAGGAATGTTTTTGGGGAATATTTTGAAAAGGAAATGTTTAGATAAAAAGGAAGCAGATGTTTGAGGGGAATATTTTAAATTACATAAAGAAATATTTAAAGAGTTTACAATCAAGAAAAGGACGGTTTAAACTAAATTGATAAGGAATATTTGAATTATGGTTTTAGGGAAATAGGAAAACAACATTTATTTAAAATTAAAAGAAATATCAAAATACGGATCCAACACTTCCTAAACGATACCCCCTATTTAAGACACTCTCAATATAAGATGCCTCACACATTTAAACTTTGATTGGCCATAACTCGGCCCAAAGTCATTTTGCAAAAAATGGTCATCACTTCACAATAGGAAGTCGAGTGTCCTCTATCGAATGTTACCAAAAAATATATCAAATTCACACTGATAGTAGACGATGTTCCCTTGTCAGTTGGACGTCAAGGGATTTTTTATTATAACTCGTTTTTGATGGACATCCACCTCTATTTAAGGAACCCCTCATTATTTTATATCGAGGTCCAACCTATTATTAGTTAAACAATCTTATCTTAATTATTTTTTAAGTTTGCCTTTTGAATTGGTGCTTTGTTCCTCACTAGAAATAATGTCAATTGAACGTTGTCCACTTACACATATTCCTGCTGGTAAATTAAAAAAAAAATTTTTTTAATAATAAAAATTTTTTTTAAATAAGATATTACTGAAGGAGGCCCTTCACTTGTAATTCAATATTTAAAAATGCACGGTCCATATAGAGGAGTGCTCAATATTTAATTATAATTGTTTTTTGATGTCAAAAAAATTTCTTTTTGTTGCTTTTGTTTCTTCCTGTGCCGTTTCTTTTAACTTTCTTGCCCGTCCATTTTTTAGAGAATCTTTTAATGTTTTAATCTTTTACTCTTAAAAATGATCCAAAAAATATGCATTATGTGCACACAAAATAATTTTTTTAAATATACTACCAAATAAAATTTTTTTATTTTTTGTTATAATGAAACGTAAAAGTCATGTGAATCTAGAACTAAGTAAGTCAGGGATGGGCTAGGTTATCTGAAACCCGGACTTTTTCAATTCGAAACCTAAGCAATCTTCAATACACAGCTTTTGTAAGAGCTTTGGTTAAAGAGCAACTTTTGTGACAATTTCTAAGACTTCACAAATTCCCCGGAAAAAATATTTAATGTTGTAAAAGTTATTCTTCCGCTTTAGGATTGGAATGGGTTTAAATTTAACGTTTGGGTGTTTTGTAAATACTATTCTGATTTTTTTGCTTTTTTGGTATTTGCCATAGCTAGGTTATTGTAATTGGGCCAGCAAAAAAATTAAGAATGGATTATCAAGCATGTAAGGGGTTCTGGCAGTTCCTCAGTCTCTTGAAATAAACATTGGATAACATGAGAACAAAAAATGGACTTTTTATGAACCGCCAGCAAAGAAAATTTCTATTCTAATTTTCTTAAAAATTATTTAAGGAAAATTCTAGTTTTCCTTAAGAATTATTCTAATCCTCAAAAATATGTGTTTTTAATGCAAAAAACCTTTAAAAAATTTTATTTTTGCCAATTTCTACTATTTTTTCAATTAAAAAATAAAAGAAAGATCAAAAAAATTAAGTGTGGATAAAGAGCTTATTTTTATATATAGAGCAATAATTGAGTAGAAAAGAGGCGAAAGTCAATTTTAAATATAAGCAGAAAAACGGTGCATTTTCATATAAAAACATATATAAAATGTTACCAAAGCAATTTTTAGGCAACAAAAATTATTACGACACCACAATAAGGAAAAAAAACATGTCAAATTTTTTTTACTATTTTTTTTATTGAGAGTCGAATTTTTTAAAGTACACTGCATGGCTTCTTCTTCTTTTTCTTTTGCTGAAGAGCAGCTTTTGTGGCCATTTCGAAGACTTCACGAATTCCCTGAAAAATAATAATTTTTTAAAGTTTTTCTTCAAATTAAGACTCCTGGGGAAATAAATTCGCTGTCTAGGTGGTTGTCAGATGTTAGAAATTTTTTTAGAAATCGTGTTGGACCTTTGTTTTCTTGTACTACTTGCAAAAGGATTCTAGCCCTTGAGATAAACACAGACCTAGTTAGAGACTAGACAAGTAATCTTCTCAAGGTTAACATAGAGGCCAAGGCTTGGAGCCTTTTTTAATAGAGACCCCTTTTCTCTTAGATTTTCGCCGTTTTGCTAACAAGGGAGCTATGTATATTGATTTTTATCTTTTTTGGTTCCATTGAATAGAGAATGACAGTAGATAAACTACTGACATAGCTAGATTATTTTCAAGCCCGAAGCCAGTAGGTAGGTACTACTTAAGGTCAAAGTCAGCCCCCTTGTAAATACAATAATAATGCCGTAGAAAAGCGAATCCCCCAACTGTTCCCCAAAATATAAAAAATACAAAAAACCTCTTTCGTCTTCGCACTGCATTCAAGATATGCATAAGCTCCTTAAATTAAATTTTAAAATCATTTCAAATAAAAATTTAAAAGATTAACCAATCTGCTCGGCAACAGCTTTGCCCTGGTCTGTCTTGATAGGATCTTGTTTGTTCCGTGAAAGATCGCGAATTGTTTGCGGGTCATTACGCAAATCCTTTTTATTGCCAACCAAAATGATAGGCACCTAAATTAATTTTTTCAATAAAATATTAAAAAACCCCAAACAATCATTTACAGAAAACTCACATTTGGACAAAAATGACGGACCTAAAAATTAAAAATTTAAAAGATAAAACTAAAATGAGTACTAGTATGGCTAGAATGGCATTACTAGAGATCGGCCTAGCTCTGGATCCAAACCTTGATTTTTACTGAACCCAGAGTCAAGAGCAAGGAACATTTTTAGTGTTTTATTTTCCCTTGACCTTGATTCTTTTTTGAGCGAAGGTCAGGAATATAGTCAAGGTCCTCAGTCAAAATCAAGAATCAAGGTTTTTTAAAGTTCCGATCTCTAACAATAAGAATTATCTCCCATCATTTTCTTAATTTTCTTTTATGTTATTTTATTTCTATCAATGAACAATGGCGCATAATGAACAGAGACTAAATTAATATAAAGTCAAGACTTTGAAAGAGGGAAAGGGATTTATCTTGAAAAATAGCAGAAATTTGGTTTCCGAAATAATGACTTAATCGGTTATTTTTTATATTAGACAGGTAAAAATCACATTTGCAACATCTTAAATAAGGAATTTTCTGAAAAAATTGTTGTCAGATCAACCCGACACAACAAAATCCAATAAAGGATTAGAAATTTTCAGAAGAGAAGGAAACAAAAGAAAATTTAAAAAATGAGGGGAGATAAGGCATACCCAAAATTTTATTCAAATTAAAACCTCGGGTGTCCACTTCTCTGGAATGTTGTCAAGAGAATCCGGAGAGTCAATACTGAAGCACATAAGAATAACATCGGTGTCTGGATAACTGAGTGGTCGAAGGCGGTCATAGTCTTCCTGGCCAGCTGTATCCCATAAAGCTAACTCAACCTGGAAATTTTGAGCTCAATTTTTATAATGAGAAGGGATTATGACTACTTTTTTAGTTCGTTAATAGTTTGTGTTTTGAAACTACGAAAACTGGGAATTTAGGAACCTATAGTTTTACTGGAACTTTATTTGTCTTGTACCGTAAAGGGATAAGCTTGTATTAGCTTCAGAAAACACAGGAATTGGGACCAGCGTTTATAAGCAAAAAAAACGAAATACAAGGTACAAACCAAACGAAATACACCAAACGAAATACAAGGTACGAAATAAAAGTACGAGCAAAAAATAGGCTGGTACCGAAGTACGAACCCAAAATTAGGGGGTGTTACGAAGTACAAGGTAAAAAATCGGGTGGTACAAAATACGAGCAAATCTGAAATTTATAAACAATGATTGGGTCTTTAATCATCGGTTAGCTTGTTGGTACTTTTTTGTTCTGTTCTTTGGGTCTTTAGAATAAAAAATTGACGTATAACTATAAAAGTGCTAATATGCTAGGGAGTGTAACCAAGCTCCTTGAACCCACACGAGATCCACGTGTAAAAATAGGAACGGAAACCTCATTAACCTATTTTTATTCAAAAAAATTAAAAACCTGTTTCCCGTCCACTTCAATGTCTGCAACATAATTTTCGAAGACAGTTGGGACCTTAAATATTAAAAAAAGTTAATTTAAAAATAAAATTAAAAATATACATAAACATCTGGAAACTGGTCTTTGCTAAATACAATCAAAAGACAAGTCTTTCCGCAAGCTCCATCACCAACAATTACCAACTTTTTACGTATTGCAGACATTTATTTATTAAATTTTTATTAAAATCCTTTAAAAATGGTTAGAAAAAATATAAATAAAAATGACAGGCAGTTTTAGAAAGAATACAAAAGATTAACAAGCAACTAAACTTAAAATAAAATGATTTCCCCCAAGTGGGAATCGAACCTTCGTCTATTATAACTAAAAATCTACCAATTTTCCCACTACACCAACTGTATAACTTCAATGGTCTATTCTGCCTTGTAAAAAGAATAATCGTACTTGTAAAAATAAAAAGTCTAAAGATTATCTAGCAACAAAAGTCTAAAAACGAAGACTAAATCGACATTTCAACAATAATACATTTTAACATTTATATTCCCAATTAAATGTCAAAATGTAAAAAGACATTTTGCCATTTTTTACTTTGCCCAATTAAATTTTAATATTTTAGTACGGTAATATCGTAGTAAAAAATATTAGGGTAATTGTGTTAATTAGAAAATAATATATAAAATTAGCCAACAAAATGTTTCAAAAATATAGAAATAAAAAAATAATTAATTATAAATTAATTTAAAAAGGATGTAGCTAAAAAATAAATAAAAATATTTTTTACTCGCTAAAAGTAAAAAATAAAAGTGACACATTTAGATGATACATAAAATAAAATATTTAAAAAATTTTAAAAATCTTTTGGTAAAAAAAGTTAGCATTTTATTTACTTATTTTTATTTCTATTAAAGTTGGTAAGACATACCCCTTGAATACCCCCTAGGGCTGGGAATTTGTCTTTTATAACAGGGTGTATCTTAAACAGAGGTTAAACCTCAATTTACTCTCTTACCCTCTATTTAAATACTTATATGATACAATTTTTCAGTTTTAAGAGAGCGTTCTCTTAAGAAAGAGATTAGCAAAAGTTTAGCCTCTGAGCAGGATTCGAACCTGCGACCTCTTCGTAGGCGCTTTAGCTTACCGCCCATAGGAACTACCACTGAGCTACCGGGGCATCGACTAATGCTTTTTCTCTTTTACCCTTTTAGATCGTTTAACCCATGTCTAAGCGTTTTAAATGTGAATTATCTTTAATTAGGTGGATTAGTGAATTGAGTGAATCAGCCTTACACTTATACTAAGGATATACTTACACAAGACTTCTATCCAATGGATAACCAAATTTTAAAATAAACGTATATAAAATGAGTTGTATCTAATATTGAGGGTATATTATAAAGAGGGCTTATTAAAAAAATTATTTTTGTTTAATAATTAAATACTACACGCATGTGGACAATAAACAAACAAACAAAAAAAATTGAAGCGCTCAAAGCCTAAAATTTCCATATCACTTTTGCTTTAGCTTTTCAGGAAGTAGAAAAAAAAGTCTCCCCTCTTTTCCCCTTGACAAATTGACTTTGTCACTCTCTACTCTTTTTTTATTTTGTTAGAAAAGGGCCAAAGAAAAATTTTTTTTGTAAATTTCATGCATCTATTTAAATTCTTTTTGCTCTTTCCAACGTTTTCTGCCAGTTGAGGGAAGAAACGAGAAAAGCAAAAATTGAAAAAAGAAGGAAATTAGAGGAATTTTAACGATTAAAAAAGAGAATTTTTCAGGGAAATTGAATGAGACGAATTTTTAGGAAATAAAGTTGCTGACAATTTTATCGAAGGGTAAAGAGTGTTCTTGAGGTATTAGGACAGCTAACTATAAGAAAATTAAAAAAGTTTTTCCCATGGGAGATTCATTATTAAACACTCTGTATTATCCGGATTTGATTTTACCAACCGATGTACATAGTCTTAGCTTTTCATTACTATGTGATATAATTTTATCATTATATTTTACTTTTATAACTTTGTAATGACTTTGTTAATGTCATAACTATATCTTATAATTTCTTAAGGATTTTTATAATTTCTTATAATTTCTTAAGGATTTTTATAATTTTTTATAATTTATTAGGAATTTTTTTTAATTATTTTTAATTATTTTTAATTATTTTTAATTATTTTAATTTATAATTATTTAATTATATGTTTTATTTTATATTATATAATTATATATTTTATTATAATTTCTTATATTTTCTTAAGAACTTTTATAATTTCTTAAGGATTCTTATATTTTCTTAAGAACTTTTATAATTTCTTAAGGATTCTTATATTTTCTTAAGAACTTTTTTTTATTTATTTTTAATTTTTTAATTATTTTTAATTATTTTTTAAAATTATTTTGATTAATTATTTCATATATTTTCTAATAATTTGAGGTCCCTTTATATCCATCTAATTCCCCTTAATCTGCACAAATACCCCGAAATAATATTATCCATTGATCTACAACTCGGAGCCCGGAGCCAACATGGATCGTGGGATTAAGATGGGTACCGGCGGATTAACAATAATAACTCTGATTTGGATGATGATCCCCCATCGCTTCCAACAAATACAGTAAAAATATTCGGTTTTTCCCAATTACTCGGTTCCCGACGTACTTTTTATTGAAACTATTTAAAATACTCTTATAAAAATTACTCGATTATTCGAACTCGTGTTTTTCAAACTCGGCATATTCAAGCTCGTTTTCCCAATTATTCGGTACTTGACGTACTCTATTTAGCTGTTAAGGTATATAACATTTAACATTGTTATCCTTTTCATCGCTTCCTCTTTTCTCCTCCTTTTAAAGCTTTATAATGCTTAATTTCATTCATTTTTTCATTTTTGTTGTTCTTTTACGTAAATAGGTACATATACGTTTTTCTTTAATTATAATTGCTGTTGATGGATTTAAAATTAACATTGCCTAGAATAAAAAAATAATAAAGAATAAATCTTGTTTTTCAAGGGGCGGTTGGGCGTGATTCTTGAGACGAGATAAAATAAGTAGATTGGCTGGGTAACAATTATTTAATATTTCCCTACTTTATTACATCCATTTTCCCAAGGCTCTGCTTCATATTTTGGATAAGGCTGTCTACAATGTTTTTTAAACCCAAAAATTAGAGGTAAATCCAAAAATGAAAGGTTATCTACTACTTAAGCCAATTCTTCCGAATGCTTTTGATAAATATTAATGTAATCAAATGTGAAAATAAAATGCGGGAATTTTACTTTTATTTTTTATTTGCAAAATAAAATCCAAGAACTTTTAAATAAAAATACTTATTTTTAAATTCCGAATACTTGATATATTTTACAAATTCCAATAAAATTTTAAATTAATATAAAATTCCAAATAAAAAATTTTTTATTTGAAAAAAATCATCATTGTTGTGCCTTTAAATATAATTAGTTATTTTGGTTAAATAAAAAAAATCTTTTAAAATTGGGAATATTTTTGGAGTTTAATTTATGTAAACGCTTTATTAAAAACTTTACCGGAGAAATTATAACGGAGAAACCACTCGAATTAACGAACTTTGCTAAAATTGACCCACCAGGCACTAGAAATCCTTGTTTTTAAACTATACTAAAGAGCAAACATTCAACTGGAGGGTGGCATTGTTTTTTTGATGAGATTGCTGACGGTATTGAAAAAATGTTATTCGGAAATTATTTTTTTTATAATAATAAGTAAAAAATTATCAAATATCCGATCGAATTTTGAATATTGTAAAATTTCAAAGGATTAAAGGAATTAAGAGATGAACTTCAAAGATTGATTTCTAAATTCTTATAGAGCGAGTCATTCAACTGCTGTATGGTAGCAGCGTAGACAGTTTTTAAAAAATTCTTAAAAATTGAAATTTGAAGGAAAAATTATAAATTAAATTTTTTTAGATAGTTTGGAATGTGCTCTATCTTTTGATATAAGTTTTAGAATTTTTTATTTGGAAATAAATTTATAACAATTTTTTACAAACAGGACCTAATTTTTAGCCCTTTTTTAAAGAAAAAGTAGTACCTTGCTAGAAAATTTATAACTTTTAAAAAAGTCGGTCAAAAATTCTGATTTTTTGGCAAACCATAGTTAACACTCCAATCTATAATTTGGCCAAAAAATAAAAGTTTTATTTGAATTTTAAAAAAAGTTATGAATTTTTTCCAAAATAGGGAGAGTGAGAAGTAACTTAACCCTTGAATTTATTGTACCGGCCCTGGAGGGTGCCATTCTACTAGAGGGAAATACGGTAGTTAAAAATTCTAAAAAATTGTAAAAAAATAATAAAATTATAGCACACCTTTAACTCTGTCGAAAATTTTGATATAAAAGCGGTTTTTGCTTCTCCTACTTCACCGACAACTACAGTGCCGCTCGTCTACGCGCCGCTCGTCTTCACTGCTTAGTCAACGCAACACTCACGCTCCGCGCGGCTATTCTTCACTGCTTTCTAAGTAAGTTACCTTTTTTTAATTTGTCGTGTTTACGCGTATTTTAACTATTTATTTTTAGTGGCTGATCGTCCGACAATCTGGCAACGCCCGCCAAAACTCTACCTTACTCCTGAAGACTGGCATGCGAAGCTCGAGACGTTCAACGATCCCTTTGGCAAAACAGTGTGGCGGAGGTTCCGTGACTTGGATCCAGTCACGGTCGGCTATGATCGAGACATTCCCATAATTGACTCGTCTGTCGTCTATCGTTGCAAGTAAAAATAAATTTTTCAAAAATTTTTATAAAAATTTTCTGAAAATTCAGATATCCGCTCTGTGCTGCCAGATCGAAAGCAACTGTCCAAACGTGCAACAATCGCTTCATTAGTGGCGAGCTATTTGCTTCCGTGCAAACCCACTCTATGCACGTTGGACGCACTTGTTCACAATCCGATGCCTTCTTCGAGGGAGTTGAAGGTGATTAAATTTTTATGAATTTTAAAATACGATAAAATTTACAGGTGTCTAGCTTGATCTCATTGGCTCTTCTATTGTGTATAGGATGTGTTCTCTTGCTGAATAGGATGTGTTCTCTTGCTTTTGGCCGTAAAACTCTGAGGGATATCAACTGAGAAATAGATGTGAATAATTGAAAAATAAATTTTTTCGTTCATCTGATTTTTTTGTGTTAATTTTTTTCTGATCCCCTCTCATTTGTATATATGTATAGTTGATTTGTGATGAGTAAATAAAAAATTCTTTTGAGAACTTTTCTTTACCTTAGGAAAAAATATAAGTTTTAAGGATAGGAGTCGAAAAATTGAACGAAGACAGAAAAATTAATTTTTTGTAAATTTCATCAAAAATCCCTTCTCCTAGAAAAAATCTTTTAAAGATTCCCTTTTATACTTTCAATTATATCTCCAAAATTCAATTTATAAATTAATTTTAATTGTGTGTTTTTTGTCACACAGCTACTGCTTTTATAGCAAGCTGATTTGAGGAGTGAGAAAATAGGGGTTTTTATAGTAAGCTTTAAATTTTTGAAAAAAATTTTGAAAAAAATCCCCTTTAATTGTTTTGAGGAAAGCGAATAAGCTTTTATAGAAGCTTTTATAGTAAAGTAATGGAGAATATTAAAACAAGCGGAATTATCAGGGTTATTGTTTCAAAATCCCGATCCCGATTTTATTTCGATATCCCGATACCGTTGAACTCTAATTTATTATTTAATTATTTGTTGCTATTTTATACTACGTAAAATTCTTTTTTTTTAATTCTCGTTTTTGCGTGAATAACAGAAGATTTGTTTGTTTGTGTGTGGCAGACTGATCAACCAAAAAGCAGGAAATTTGGCGAATATCCTTTTGATTTCCTGTATTTTTTAATGATTAAAGAAGCTTCATTGGAAAGTTATTTTTTTATTCGCTTTTAGATCTCCGTATAAACTACCCCCATTTTAAGGGACATTTTTTAAAATTTATTTGGCAAATGGATAGGGGCAGGTTAAGAGCCTTTGTATAAAATATAGCTCGTTATAAGGTAAACTTCAGTGTGAGATACCTCCATTATTAGATACACCTCTATTTAAGAGACACTTTTTAAATTATATCCCCTATTTAAATTCGTCACATCATAATTACTTTCACTTTAAATTGAGTTTTTCTACTCTATTCAAGCCTCCCTAATTTAAACTGAATTGAATGTCTACTGGTTTTTAAATCTAAAACTCTCATTTTTAATATACTCCCAATTTAAGAGACATCTACATTACCGTATTTACTCGATTAATTTCCATGGGGAATTATTGTTTCAACCCATCCGTAGCATGAAGAATTATTCAAGGGAGGGCAATTAATCAAGTAAATACGGTATAAGGTACGATTTTCCCAACCCCAAGTGTTCATGTTCTAAAGATGCTTTATTTAAATATTTATTCAAAAAACTCCAAAATCCTTCTAAAAAAGGGAACAATAAAAGAACAACAACAACAACTCTAATTAAAAAAGGAAAAGTAAAAAGAATAGCTAAAAGTCAGGATTTAATGAATCGAATAGAGAAGGGAAAGGGTAAAATGGAAGGAGGGGTTGATATGCTTTTTATTTATTTTTTATTTTCTCAACAGCGTGAGCTTAGAAAAGTTAAATTGATGTTTTTACTAATTTTATTTTTTTTTGTTTTTATTCCATTTCTCGTAAATAACGAGTTATTTAATTAAAAAAGGAAAGGAGAACTTTAAAGAAAATAATAACCCTAAAGCTTGTTAAAGCTAATTTATTTATTTTTGCTTTTCCTTTTATGGATTATTTTTAAATTTATTTATTAAAAAATTTAAATTAATTATTTAATTAAATAAGCTGAAATTCTTAAGGATATTGATGTTTTTTTGAATTTTTTCTTTGGGATTTAAACTAGAGGTCAGTGCGGAACGGGATTCCGCACGGGATTTTGCGGACCGCTCACGCAATCCTGCACTTTTTCCAATTTGCGGGATTATTCCCGCGGAATCCCGTCCCGCAAACGTTTTTAGAAGTTACTCCCGCATGCGGGATCCCACAAACACAAATTTTCCAAGCTCTAGTTTAAACATTTTTTGGTTAAATTTGGTGTTGGACTTTCTAATTTTCTTTCTTAACTTTAACTAAATTAAGTGAGCCAATTTCGTCTTTCGCTATTTAAAATTAGTTTCGGCAAACCTCTGATAACTAACCAAAATTTTTATTTATTAATTAGCAAACACAGATCAGCTACCCCTAAAAGTTTCGAGAATATAATGAACGTTACATAGCGCAAAGTTGCGTTTTGGGGAAGAATGGGCGAATTTGCTAGCTTAAGAACCTTTGAAAGCTGAAGAAAATTTTTTCTAAGATAATGATTATATTCTCATTTTATTTTTAATTAATTAAAAAATTATTTTTTTATTTAATCTTTAATAAAAATCTTTTTATTATTTTTTAGATTAAATAAATTTTTTAATGAAAACAAAAGCACACTCTCCCTTTTTTAACACGGAAAGAGCGAAAGCATTTTTTATTTAAAAATGGAATAATTCAAAAATCCACTAATTCTCTTTAGTGTGAAAAAGGAGAATACCTCGTTTTTAGATATCTGAATTAAATATTTAATTAAGATTTAATGCAATCCACGTCGCTATAATACACCTCATGGGGCTGAAAAAGTCCTACTTTATAATGAGGTTATGTTAAATTGGGGGAGGGGTGGGGGTATAAAATTAGGAAAACCTCTATTTAATAGACGCTTTCTTTTAACCCCTCTACATAAGACGCACTTTATTATAAAATACCCCCTATACTATATACACCTCTATTCAAGATATGCTGATCAAATATTAAGTTGGTCACTAGAGGTGAGCAGCTGCCTAAGCGATATCCTCTTTTTAAATCACACCTCATTATAAGTAGCCTCGAGTCTTTTTTAGCCTCAAGTGTTATTTAAAAATGAGGTTCGACTAAATTGCGAAATTTTTTAAAATCTCACGAATTTTTTTTTTAATTATAGATCTCGAAATATATACCAAATATCGAATCACTAAAACAATTTGTTTATTTTTCTAGATGATAATATTTTCAACAAAATCTTCCCTTAATTTATACAAATTTCTATTTTTTCCTCTAATTTATTTTTTATTCCCCTTTGTAAAAGGCAACGGTTATTCTGGTTATGGAGGCCAAAATAATGACTTGACATCATTAAACGACTCGTTACTAGACAATGATGCCTCAAAGCTACATTCTGCCAAAAAAATTCCCTTGCCGCCTTTAGCGCCCCCAAGAGTTCCTTTATTCTCTTCTGAGTTGAAGGAAGATTCTACAAATAATGTGGGGAAGGATGTGGCGATTATTGGCACAGGAAGTGGAAATAGCAATTCAGTCAGTTATAGACCTGTACCTCCACCTGTCAGAAGAGATGTTAGAAGTGAAGGAAGATGCAGTTTTGGTGGGGGGAATTAAATATGTACAGTCAGTCTTCACTATAGGATACACCTTTTAAGGCCATAACTTATTTGATTCTTAACCGATTTACATAAATGTTATATCAATCGAAAGCTCTGGATATGAGCATCATTACAGCTAACAGGATTGATTTGATCGGATCATCCTACAAAAAGTTAAGCCTACTAAATATCACCTGATTTTCAATTAAAGTGTGTATTTTATAGAGAAGTCTGACTGTATTAAAATTTAGATCCTTAAGTATCTAATTATTAAGACCTATAAGTTAATAATATTTATAAGTTAATTATTAAGACCCAACACAATGGCAAATGCAAGCTCAATCAGCTGCTGCTAATGCCGTAATGTTCGATCGGTCTAGTGGTGTTAGTTGTGATGAATGTTTAGAAAGATGTAGCAAACACTTTCAAGTAATTAAATAAAGATGGCACTGTTGAAGATAAAAATTAACATTGGGAAAGTCCGCAAAATTTTTTGTCCGCAAAAATTTTGTTTGCAAAAATGTTGCGGACTTATTTTTATAATATCTTCAATACAGGGTGCGGCAAATTAAGCGCGCGTTTGTTTTTTGCCATAACTTTCTTCAATTTTAATGAAAATTGATAATTCTTTTTTTGTTTTATTCCCAACACGTTAGGAAACTTGCTTATACCAAACATTAAAAATTTGGTTCACTGTTGGCAAAGATAATCGAGTTCGATCGTCTGGAAAATTTAAAAACATTTTTTATGCCAAAGTTTAATTGATCATAACTTCGTTCAAAATCGTTCAATACCAATGATTTTGGTACTATACGACTCATCTCGTTCAGGAGCATTGAAATAGCTTATAATCTCATTTTTGAAAATTTTACACAAAAATTTTATTTTTATCAAAATTATTTTAATTTATATTCAGAGAACCGTATCTCATTCGATTTTTGTCGTAGCCCCATGATTTTTATGTCATTCGAATCAGAATGAAGAGCTGATTCGAATGATATAAACATTTCCAATATTAAAATCCCAGCCTTGAATCTAGGCCAATTTTTATCCAAAAAATTCTGCTCAAACTTTGAGGGAAGTTTACTCAGAGTAAGCTTAAAATTAAAAAGCAATTTTGGTATCAGCAAGTTTCCTAAAGTGTTGGGAATAAAACAAAAAAAGAATTATCAATTTTCATTAAAATTGAAGAAAGTTATGGCAAAAAATAAACGCGCGCTTAATTTGCCGCACCCTGTAGTTTTCATTTAAAAAAATACTTATTTTAATAAATCATTAAAAAGAACCATTCATCTGAGTGGATTTGCCGTTCTTTAACTTATGATCATCGATGGAAAATTTGTGATTTATTTGCAGTAAATGGTGGTGATTCTCCTTATAATTTATTGGATTTTGAAGGACGTGATTATTTTCAGTTAAATTCTAATTAATTAATTACAGTCAGCCTCATTATAAGAAACACCCTTAGAGCGGGAAAAGTCGCTAATAATGAGCATATCTTAAATAGAGGGTATCGTCTCTTACAGTCTCTTATAATGAGCGTACCTTGAATAGAGGGTAAATATAGGGTCTCTTATGATGGGCGTACCTTAAATAGTTGGTCTCTTATGATGAGCGTAGCTTAAATAGAGGGTAAGCCGATTTTAGTACCTCATTATAAGGTACGTTTTATTTAGTCCCAAGGGTGTCTCTATAACGAGGTCTGACTGTATTTAATACAATTATATTTAGATATATGCCAGCACTTCCTCCAACAGACACTGAAATGTTGGGACTTAAACAGAACGAAATTTTGGAACATTTTAATACGAACAATGAAAAACAATGCAGTTGTCCATGTAAAGCATTGAGTGAATTAACTGCACAAAGAAATATTCCTCTGAATTTAACTGGATCGGAAAACGGAGAAAAACTGATTGGGGACTCAACTTTAGAAGTTAAACCAATCCCTGTTAATAATGCTTCTGCTTTAGAGAATGCTGCTGATCAATTGGTGAATTTTTAAATAGCCAGATATCATTATTAGATACCCCCACTATAAAATGCCCTTCTATTTAAAAGACGCCTCTTTAACATTCGTTTGGCCATGGGTGTGAGAGAGCCCCTAAACTAATATTGAAAAAAAAAGTCCGCATAAAAAGTCCGCAAAATTTGTCCGCAAATTTTTTGCGGACAAATTTTGCAGACTATTTTTCTGCTCCAAGGTGTATTTTATATTGAGGGGCTGTCTAAATTTAAAAAATAAAAAGAATTTTTTCTTCTAGTCTGGCACAAAAAATATTGAAATAGAAAAATCATTAGAAAACCAATCTACTAATTCAACAACATTATCTTCCCCATTACCAATAAATTCAGAACAAAATTTAAATGAATCTTCCACTAATTCTTTAGAAAATAATTTAATAATTAATTCTACTTTAATTCCCCCCTCAACTTCTTCAATTGAACCAATTCCTACAGAAATAACTTCAACAATTCCTCCTTCCCAAAATTCTTCTGTAGAAGAACAACCACCTCCAATAGAGATTGGAAAGTCTTTTGGGTCAAAAACATATGAGGTATTTTTGTGAAATAAATTATGGCACTTGGGTAGAGTGAGGGACCTTTGAGGATTTATTTTGCGGACCAGAAAAATGTCCGGAAAAAAAGTCCGGAAGAAAAGTAGGCAATAAAAGTCCGTAAAAAGTCAGTGAAGAATGTCCGCAAAAAATGTCCGCAAAAAACATCCGCAAGAGTTGTCCGCAAGACGGTTGTCCGTACACCCCCTCCCTCCCCCCCCCCTCTGTTATCCACACAAGTGCCTGAATCCAAGACCTAACCTTATGTATATTTTAAAAAGCCTCAAAAAGACGTTCAATTAAACAAAAATGTGGACAAACCTCAACTAATTCAAAGACCCATCATAAAACAACAAAAAATACCAACGAATAATGTCTGCCCAAAAATAGGACAAATAGCCTATTATGCTGAAATTGAAGGAAAAATACAAAGAAAAAACAATGGGAAAATAGAAAAAATAAATGATATTAAAAATTCGAGAGATTGTTTGGATATTTGTGATGGACAAACGAAAACAACTTGGTAATTGATATTCCTTTAAGATACCATCTTGGGGTTGAAAAAATTGACTCTTATAATGGGGTGTTTATTAAATAGGGGGTATCGCTTAGACAGCTCTTCCTCCCAGTGGCGACCAAATTTTAAGTAGTGTCTCTTAAATAGAGGTTTAACAGGGTGCATCTTATATGGAAAACCTCATTATAAGATACTCCCAATATTAAATAAGCTCTATTTAAGAGACGTTTTTTTAAATATGGCTGGTTATTGGGTCGGGTAGCTGCCTAAACAATATCCTCTATTTAATATACACCTCGTTATAAGCTACAAATTTACAGCCATAATCTAACCAAATTTTAAAAAGCGCTCTTAAATAGAGGTTTCTTTCCAGGGGGTATCTTATAACGAGGTCAGATTAAATTTTTAAATTAAATGTGTGTTTAGTAATTCTGCCCAATGGACAACAACAGAAGGCTGTGAATTATTTAGCAATTTTTCTACACAAATTATATCTCCACAAAGTCAGTTGACCTTCTTACCGTCTACTGCAACAGAAAATGCCAAATATTATGAAAAAGTTTGTGTCGATAAAAATATATTGAAAGATGAAACTCGACGAACTTTTGTGGCTATACCCGGATATATTCTTGTTGGGTAAACAATTTTTTTAGAAATATTTTAAAGGATATAGTCGAACCTCACTTATGTATCTGCTTTGGGGCTGTAAAATGTCTCTTATAATGAGTGTATATTAAATAGAGGGTAAGCCAGATGATTTTTCTGTTATCTCCTCCCATTTTCCTTTCCTTCTACATCCCTCTGTTCGACTAGAGGCGAGAGGCTCGACTATATCATTAAAAAATATTTTTTAGACATGTTCAAGAAGTCTCTAATGCTGGTTCATTATCAGAATGTTTAAAAGCCTGTTTGTCTGCTTCAGTTGATTATGGATTTACTTGTAAATCTTTGATGTTTTACCCATCAGATCAAGAACAGGTAAATTTAGACGGGGAATTAAATTTAAAAACCTCACTATAAGATACCTGCAAAGCTCACTATAAGGTACCCTCAAGCCCCTAAAAGATACCTTGATAATAATCTCTTATTTTAACATACCCTCTATTTAACATACATCTCATTATAAGCGACTATTTTTTCGCCTTCAAGGGTGTATCTTATAGTTGAGGTTTTCCTCTATTTTCTTAAATAATTTTTAGAATTGCCTAATGAACTCAGAAAGTAGACATACTCAATCAGACGTTTTTGTTCCAGAAGAGCAAAATGTTGAATTTATGATTTATCTAGATTTGGACACTCCCCAAAAAAAATTGCTTCCTTCAACAATAAATGAACAAAGACGTTTTTACGACTCTCCAATTGATGGAAAATTAGAAAATAAAACTTCTATAGAGGAAGAAACGTGGACTCATTGGTCTAAATGCCTAAATTCTGAAACTGCTGCAGAAATGCGGCATCGTTATTTAAAATGTAGAGAGTCGAAAGACATTAGAAAATGCCCGAAAGAGACGATTCCTTGCGGCAAAAAAAGTTTTTTTAAATTACAGTCGAGACCTCGAATTTATATACCTCCAATACTGGATACACTCAAAATTAAATACACCTCTATTAAAAATACCCTCATTATAAGATACCTCTATTCAAAATACCCTCAATATAAGAGACTATAAGATACACTAATTATAAGATACCTAACCCCTATTTAAGATACACCCAGTATTAGATACCCTCATTACACCCAATACTAGATACACCTCAATATAAGCTACAATTTCGGCCCTAGGGCGTATATAAATTCGAGCTCCGTCTATATTTTCTTTAAATAAAATTTAATTTTTAAAAGAACCAACAATAAAAATTCAAAAAATTTGGCATTCTGATAATACAAATCAACAAAAATTAAAATTGAATGAGAAAACCAATGCTTTTAGCAATATTTTGAGTGAATGTAGAGCTGTTAGGGATGCTTTGGGAAGAAAAAAGTGCCCTTATGGAATGAGGTTCTAAAGAGAATTTTTGCTTAAGAGGGTATTTTAAATAGGGATATCGCATGGTCACCTTCCCCACACCCATTGGTCACCCCGTCATCGAAAGTCGGGCAATTTGAGTTTTTTTAGAAATTCCCCAACCCGGCCCCCTTGACAAAAAAAATTTTTCCCTGTCCCCGTGCCATCTTGATCAGGTCATGGTAAAAAATAAAAATTTTTTAAAATATTTTAAGATGGAATGGCTTGAAACGTGAAGCTTGTCAACCGCCTGTAGATTGTTGAAAAAAGATTTTAATTAAAATTAGTTTAGAAATTAATTAAAGATATTTTCTATTTATTTTATTAAAAATGCCATAATTTTATTTTTATTTATTTTTATTATGTAAATATGTAATATAAATATAAAATTAATAAAAAAATATATACAAATATGAGCTTATAAATATAAAAAATATATAGCACATTAAATAATCAGAAAATAGCTCATCTTCAGCTCGGATTAGGCTGGTTTCAAGACTGGATCAGATATGGACCAGAACTTTTCTTTCGACAAAAACCCCGAATTTTTCATTGAAGTATTTTCCAATAAGGAAAGAAATCTGGCTTCTTATCCTTCTAAAATTTTAGGCGGAATTCAAAATTTAGGCTTATTGACCCGATATCCGAAACCTGCATTTTATTCGCCTGAACCTCAATCCAAGGATTTTTCTTAGCAAGGTTCATTCCTGGTTTGGACCACCGATTTAAATCAAAAATGGACTACTGATTTTAAAAATGAAAACTAGCGCCGATCATTTAATGGTCCCAGTTCTATTTTCGTCCTGTAGGTCTGAAACAAGAATAGTTGAAAGGAAAAGGGTTGTTTTACTGAAAAGTAGCTATTTCTGTGGGTGTTTCAAAATAATTATTTTTAAGCAATAATTGAGATCAAAAAAATATATTAAAAATTAATTCAAGGAACATTCCCTTCCTTTCCTTCTCCATTTCCCACCAATTCAATTAAACAATTTGTTGTTGTCGGATCATTACAAGTTTCCACAATATTCCCAAATTCATTAAATTTTTCACACACCTTTCCTTCTTCCTCTTTTTTAATTTTAAAATTGTTTGTAGCCAGAGGAGATTCTAGCCGTTTAATTAAAGGGTGGGTGTGGACTACAGCAGAGCCGTTCCGAAGAGAAAGAAAGTGGCTGCTTCGAAGTAAGGGGGTGCCTGAAGGGGAACCACAAGTTGAGAGAGAATTGTTGGGGGAGTCACGGGAGAAGTAACTGAGAGTTTTTCGTTGATTACGACGACGGACTGAAAAATTAAAAAAATATATTTTATATTGAGTAAAATTGAGGAAATAAAGGTTGGGGACCCCTTGTATACCTTTGGGATAATATTAAGGTGAGGTTGTTTTTTGAGCTAATAAGCCCAAGGGTATACGTTAGAATGAGAGTTATTGCTACAAAAAATCTCTGGATGTCAGAGTGAAGATTAGGGAGAAGTGAACCAAATCGTGGATATCTTCTTAGAAGGTATCATTTGGATAGCTTCATCAACCCATTGACCATCAAATTTTATTAAACGCCTCTTAAATAGAAGTGTGCCTTATAATGGGAGCATCTTATATAAAGGTATATCTTATATTGAGGTTTATATTAGATAGAGGCTGTAACTTGAGTAGCTACTTCTACCCAGTATCCCAACAAATCTAAAATTGTCTCTTAAATAAAGGTGCATCTTATAATGAGAGTATCTTATATAAAGGTTGCTAAAAAATATTTTTGAAATCAGACCAATATCAGAAAGATTCAATCCTTTATTTATATGGCTAGAACTAATAATTTGTTTAGGCAAATATTTTGGTGGTATTCCAGTGATTAAACAAGCAGAAGCTGCCTTTAAAAAATAGAGATTTATAAATTTATTAAAATTAAATTAAAGAATAAAAAAATGTTAGTAAGACACAAAACTTGGAAAACACTCTTAAACACACACAATATTTACTTACAATATTTGCTTTTCTACGAGGTAACATCTAAATATATTTTTTATTTACAATTTTTGGCTCTTATTAAATCTATGAGTCCGATCAGACTTCCACGGACTAAGGCTGATAATAATTAACCAAAAAAAGTCCGGATTAGAGACAGGAACGGGATGAGATCTCGATGGAAAATGATGACATCTCGGTTATCGAGATCGTGAATTTTTTGAGATCTCTATTCTCGTACGGCACTTCCAGTTTAGTCTCTATTCAGGATACCCGCAATTTTCGGTTCAGATATTGGTTCCGGATACCAGAAAATTTCCCAGAAACCGCCAAGTCTATGACGACAAAAAAATAAATTTTGGTTGGACGGTAAATTACAGGGATGGGACGGTTACCCGAAACCCGACCCGACTTTTTCCCAACCTCCCATCCCTGGTAAATTGGACAAAATCCACTTTTTTCTCTGATTAAATTTATTTTTATAGGAAGGGAGACTTTAAAATAATTCCTTTTATTAATTAATTTAATTATACTCTACCTTAGCTACCATAATATGTTGTCTTTCTTTTAACAATTTACTTTTTAATCTATTAGCAAAAAATTCTGTTTTGCCAAAGTAAGCGAAGGAATTTGTAGCAGAATTTAAAACAACACCAAAATCGGATAATCTAACCAATATACTTAATATAATTCCAAAAGAGTCTATTCCATAGAATGTTTCATAAATATCAAAGAAAATTGGTAGAGATCTTGAAAAATAAATAAATTTTTAAAATTAATCGGAACTCCTTTTCGGTCCCTTTTTTTCAGTGTCTTTGGAGAAGGTCTCAGAATGGTCAATTAATATATTTGACCGTTTTGAGCCCTATTTTTACTAAAAACAAATAAAATTTTCACGAAACTATCCTCGATAGGTATCATTTATAGATAGACCCAATAGTGGATAAACCTCTATTTAAGAGACGATTTTAAAATCGTCTAGTGTTAATGACCTTATTATAAGCTGGAATTTTAAGGGTCTTATAGTGAGGTTTGACTGTATTTGAACTGCCTGAGAGATACCCTCTATATAAGCTACGGCTCATTATAAGAGACAATTACTGGACTATAATGGTGTATCCTATGAGCTTTTTAAGGGATCCCCTCCATTTAGAATACGGCTCGTTATAAGAGACAACAATTCAGGGGTGTCTCTTATATGGAGGTTAGCAGTTTAACAATATAAATACCCACCTTAAAATCAAAAATTTAATAGCAATAAATATCGAAACAGTTCTAGAAACTTTTTCTTTCAATTCTTCCAAAGCAACAACAGAACGACTTCTATTTTGTGCTTCAAAAAGTCTTTAAAAGAAATTTTTTGAATTTTCATTTGATTAACAAAACAAACATTCTTCTAGCTTTTAATGAAACAGCAACTTTATATTCTGTAATCGCTGTTAAAAAAGTAATCAAAAGTATTGGGCCAATTGTTTGTGTGACCATTGCTATTGTTGTGCGCAACATATAATACTTTAAAAAAATTTTTAAATTTATTTTTACTATTCAATCCTCGTTTTTTAATATCCCCTCCGTGTTAAAAAATCGGTCTCTTATAATGAGGTGTCTATTAAATAGAGGGCAATTTAAAAAACGTATTTTAAATTGAGGTGTCTTTAATATCTTGGGTAGTTAAGAACGGAATCCAAGTTTTAATAATTACCCCCTCTCTATTAATAAACCTTAATAACCACCTCTCTATTAGTAGCCCGGGTTAAAATTATTACCCAGGGTAATTATTTGACAAGGTCCCAACAATAAGTATTTTTAAATTCATGCAAAAAACTTCGGTCTATGACCTCAAAAATTTTTTTCGTGACAGCTGTTCTAGAGCTTCCCTTGTAAATAAATTTTTTTAATTGGGTTTTTGAACTTTAAATGTTGCAAAGTCAATAAAGGATTAAAATTATAATTATTTTATTCAAATTTTTCATAAATTTCTTTGCTACAAGAGGTTTGTCATTGAATCCCCGAAATATATTTTAATGATGTTATTTAAAATTTTATTTAAATTTTTTAACGAAAATGACAACAAGAGAGATTTTATTTTTTGCGTCACAGGATTATGACACATTTTTTCAAGGCGCTCTTCAGAAAAAAATTAAATCTTTTTTAATCCTTTATTTAATTGGAAGCCATAAAAATTGTTTGGCAAAGCTTAAAGCCCCCTGATTTTTAAGTTTTAAAGAAAACCAACAGTTTTGGATTGCCTCAATTCTGTTGGAAATAATTGCATAGAAAAAGTATCATGAGCAAAAGCAAAACAAGGAACCAATTCGAATTCAAAAAATACAGAGAAGTTGATTAAGAAAGCAAAGAGCAAAACACAAACTTTAAAAATATTAATTTAAAATTATTTAATTCCAAATAAATTGGACCTCGATTATAAGTACTCCTTGGTGTTAAAAAATTGTCTCTTATAACGAGGTATTCTTTATACGAGGTGTATCTTAAATAGAGGGTATTGCTTAGACACCTCTCCCACCAAGTGAACAGCCAAGTTTAAAAGAGTCTCTTAAATAGAGGTGTATCAACATTGAGGGGTATCTTATAATGGGAGTATCTTACATAGAAGTGTGTCTTGGGTATGAAAGTATCACCTAAACAGCTCCCAAATCCAGTGGCTAAACCACATTCTAATTGAACATCCCTTAAATAGAGGTGTATCTAACATAGAGGGGTATCTTATAGTGAGAGTCTCTTATAAAGAGGTGTGTCTTATAATAAACATAGGGAGTATCGCCCAAATCCACTAGTTCAACCACATTTTAACTGAACGTCCCTTAAATAGAGGTGTACCCAATATTGGGGTATCTTATAAAGAGGTTCTACTATATTTTAAAGCAAATTACTTGGAAAAATAAATGGATGCAGAATTTTTCGAATATTCGGTTTTTTGTAAGTTGTCGATGTAGACAAAAATCTTTTGGAGAAACTCCTTGCTAGACCCCCACTTTTAAATATTCCACTATTTTCTGTGCAAGCTTCTTCCATTGAAGAAAAAGATTTTTGAAGTTGATCGTTTCTTTTAGGTTCGCGTATTCTGGCATATTTTAAAGGCCACCAGACAACCAAAAAACGACGGAAGGTTATGAAGACAACGAGTAAAGTCTGGAAAAGTAAAAGAATGATACATTAGGCTCTTATTAGTGGTACACCCTTGGGCGTTAAATGTCTCTTATAATGAGGTGTTTATTAAATAGAGAATACCGTATAACCTCTATCAATTAACCTTTCCTCGATTAATTCTCCAGCGAGAGGTCGAAACAATAATTACCCAGGGTAGGTATTCATGGAAATACTGTATTGCTCATTTAATGTGCTAATTTTAGCCTAAAGACGTATAGTACAACGAGGCTTTACAAGTAAAAAACTAACAGAAGAAGTAGTCGCTGCACTAACAATGCCATGAGTTATGAGCTTAAGATAAATAAATTTATATTTGGGTGTAAAAAAGATGATACACTTACAACACTACTTTGTTCGTCCCACATAACATTAGTGCCCAATAATAGAATTGAACAAGCTTCTAATGAATGGTAGACTACAACCATTGAAATAAGGAAAGAATCACAAATACAAAGAGTGTATAGAGCTGTAAATTAATAAAAATCAAAGTCGAATGATGGGACATTTGACCATTTTTAAAAAGGAAATGCCCAGGCAAGCATTGAACCTGCGAGCTTTTTGGCACCTATTGCTAACCGATTGGCCCAAACAGCTGCTCTACTGATAGAAGTAACCCTCAGCAAATTTAGATAAATTAAATTAAATTACCAGCAGTCAAGTCTCTATTAAGCCCAGCTCTAGCCAAAAATCTAACAGCAAAATGACATCCTACAAAAGCTAGGAGTGCAGCGATTATAGTAATTGGGCCGTCTAGCCATAGAGAGATTAATTTGATTAAATTGTCGTTTAAATCTTTAAAAAATTCATTATTTCATTGTCTTCAAAAATTCGTATCTCCGCCCAGAAAAATATTTTTCCATTGAGTTTTTAGATTCTGATTCCTACAATATGGAGGAAAGAAAATCTTAATAGAGTGACCCTTCGATTTAACGAACAACTCGATATAAGGAACTTTCTCTTAGGCCCCTTTGGAGCAGGACAGAAGAGAGGTGGGTCGGAATTCCGATTTCCGGCACTTTTTTTCTTCCGATTTCCGAGTTCCGACTTTTGAGCCAGTTCCGATTTCCGGCTCTTCCGATTCCCGACACCTCTGACTGGTCCGACCCACCTCTGGATAGAAGAGAAGTTATAATGAGAGATTCGATCAGGGATGTCACAGGGTTACCAGAAACCCTGACATTTTTCGACCCGAAACAGAAACCCGATTCGAGAAATCTTCTAAACGCCTACATGATTCTTCCCTGGATTCGATTGTATTTTTTTAATTTTTTAAAAATAATTAAAATAACTAACCATATCTATAAGTACAGTTTGGAGTATTTAATTCCTCTATTAGCTTCATTGTTGTTGTTAAATTAATTTTTAAATGATTTTAAATAATTATTAAGTTAATTTAAATTTAATTTTCATTAATTTTCTTTAAAAAAAATAATTTAATAAAAGATGTAGGTCCTTATCTGGGGAGTTCAAGGATTAATTTGAGCGGAAAGGTTGTCGGGAGGGCCATGAAACTTGTGGATGGGTCCTACAACTTTTTAAGGCGCATCTGGGAAAACTAAGAACTAAGCACTACGTTGAGGTCTTGGCACCTAAATGCCCATGGTCTTCTCGGTAACTCAAAAATCTTCAATATAAACGTGGTCGAGGCTTGGGGCAAGGGCCCTCGAAACGTGGCAAGGGTGGGGCATCAGAGGGCCTCCCTCCCCATTCTCAAACCCCTTTGAGGTGGGGAGGCCTCCTCAAAAGGCCTCCCTCTCCCTTCAAAGGGCCCTCAAACCCCCTAAAAAATTTTTGACCTCAAAAAAAATTTTTTTTCGAGGTCAAAACGTCAATGGAAAGTGACGATATGCTTAGTAATCCTTTTAAATTTTTTCCTTAAAATAGGTAAAACTTTTTTAGGTTAATTAAAATAATTTATATTGTGTAGACCACCCATTTTTTCTTTTTCCAAGTTTTAAAGTCAAAAGGAGGAAAATAAAAAAAGAAAAAAATATTTTTAGTATTCTCCTTCCAAATAAATTAAATTTTAGAAAAAAAAATAAATTCAGAAAAAAAATCTTTTTTGAAAAAAAAAATAAAAAAATGTGTGGAGAAGACTTAATAAATAATTCAAAATTTATATTGAAAACACATACAGACATTGCATTTTTTAATATAAATTAAAAGTAAAATATAGTGAAGGAAATATTTTATTTTAATTAAAATTAAATATTTTTTGAATAGAAAAATTTTAAAAAATTTTTTTAATTAAAATCGCGTGTAAAAAGGTAAAATTAAAAAATAATAAAGTTAAAAGGTCAAAAATATTTTTTGATTTTTTGTTGATTCCCAGAATCTGATTAAACTTGAAAAGAGTTAGAAAAATTTAAAAATGCCCGGATTAGGGTTGGGGTTTTTTCGGGCCTCATTTTTATCGGCGGCCGACTGAGTCTTTTTCGGGCCAAAATTAAATGCCTGACTCGATCTAACGGACCGGGCCGGATCGGGCCCCTAACCCTAGTCTGGATGTCAGTACCGAAATTTATACGAAACATAAGGAAGCACAAATTTAGAATTACATAAAAATGAGGACGATATAAAACAGGAATCCTGTCGACATAAAAAATAAATTTTAAATTTTCGGAAGTCGGAACGATAGGATCTATGGTATGCGACAAATCGCAATTTTCAAGCGTTAGGTTATGATGTCACCCTTCTGGAGCCAAGCATCCTTCTAGATCTCTTCTAGGAACGCGAAGGCTCTCTCAATTTAATTAAAAATACCCTCATTTAAGTTCACTCCCTATCTACCTGTTTTTTGTCTCCCCTATCCTTGGAGTTAACAAAAAAAATATTTTTAATAAAATTTAAATTAAAAAAATTAATTTTTAAAAAATAAAATTGCGTGTAAACTACTAAATAGAAAAATAAAATAATAAAAGTATTTAATAAAAAAAAATTTATTAAAAAATTGTTTAGGTGTGCTTGTTTAAATGTACTCTCTCCCTCTAATAAATATTTATTTTTTATTTTATAAATTTAATTTAAAAAAGCTATAATGTATAATTGCGTGTTTGACATTAAATAAAATAAATAAAAATTTTTTTATTTGACTCTTTTAAGGATATAAAAAATTTTTTTGATTAATTATTTAAAAAATTTTGGGGAAAATTTTTTAAGAAGTACAGGAGTCCGAGGACCTCAACCAAGGATGGCATGAAAATGAGAGGAAAATATATGTGATATGTTAAATTATTTATTAACTTGAAGGACCTTATAAAAAGGTCAATACAATTAGATAATTAATAGGACATAGAAATAATTAAAAAAGGAAGTAGACAAAAATGTTTCACAAATTTTTCACTATAAAATATAATAGCGCGAGAACGAGTTTTATTTTTAAAAAAGGAGGATTGAGGATGGATTGCCTAGAAGGATTGGAGAAATGGAGGATTGGGATTGAGGATGGATTGCCTAGGAGGATTGGAGAAATGGAGGATTGGGATTGAGGATTGGGGGATTGAATTTCTGAGGCTGGCAGAGATGAGATCGAGGGGCAATTTTTGTTGTTGTCCGAGATTGAGGTTTATGGTTGATGACTGAGTTTCGGTTTCGAGGTTCCTGATTAAAAGATACCCCTTCGAACTGAAAAAAATCGTGTCTTATAATGAGGTGTTTTTAAGCTTTCACTTAAACAACATCTCCAGCCTTTGACCAAACACCTTTTTAAAAAAATTCTTAAAGAGCTATTTTATAATAAAGAGGAACAACGGATAATGAAAAATTAAAAAACGAACCAAAAATGTTCGAAAAAAATTTTTTGTGTGATGTGTTAATTATTAGCAACAAAAATAGTTAATTTTTTTCAATGTTTTCCAAGAAAAAAATTTTTTTGTTCTTTTAAAATTCTTTTTTTTCTGTTCCTCATTAAATTAGTTAATAATTATTTTTTAAATTTACATATTAATTATTTAGTATTTTTGGTTATTTTCTTGAAACTTTTCTCTTTTTCTGTTAAATTAAATTATTATCAAGTTAAATGCCTATTTCTTGAAAAGGAAGTGACTTTTTAAAATTTTTTTAAATTTTCCTTGAAATACCTCGATTTTACATATCCCTATAGGGAGGAAATATTTTATGTAAAATTAAGGTGTATTCAGAAATAAAGGCCAAAACTGGGTTTAATGGATTAAGGACGATAAAAGTGGAGTTGAAGGACATTGGTGAATTAAGCGGGTTTAAGGGACTTTTCCCCCACCTAATCCTTCTTTGAATTCTCAATATTCCCCCCCCCCCTAACAGCATTTAAAATTAATTTACGAAAAAAGACGGGTAGGGGTTTAAGTCTGAGTTTTTGGCAGATTTTTTAGGTCAGGTTTCGGGTTTTCTGAACCTCTACCTCGTTTGTAAAATAAAGTATCTTCATTCGCCGATCAGGGGTAAGCACAAGAGACACTTTCAAAAAACGCAAGATGCAAAACGCGACGCGAGGATTTAACGCAAATAACGCAAGACGCAATGAGCTCACCCCTGGTTCCAATGAGTGTATTTAACGCAAATAACGCAAGACGCAATGAGCTCACCCCTGGTTCCAATGAGTGTATTTATTGAGAGGTTGACTATATATAATTAATTTTTTAACAATTTTAGGGGTTGAAATTCTGAAAAATTTTAACGAGCTTTAATATTAATTTTATTTACTTTTGTTCTTTAATATTGTATGTACATACATAAATGTGTTTAATAATAAAAAGTACATAAAATACATAATGAATTAATGATGACATTTTTATTTAGAAAAAAATACAAAAAACTTTTAAGGGATTAAAAATGTACAAATATTTAGAATTTTTTATATAAATTAATTTAAAATTTTAATAAAAGCACATTAGTAAATAAAGAAAAAAAAATTTTTTTTTGAAGGAAAAAAATAATTAATAAATTTTTAAGTCTCGGACTTTACTTGCAAAAAAATTTTTTTGAAAAAAATAAATTCTTATAATGAGAGGTACCTTAGATAGAGTGTATGTTAAAATGAGAGTTGTCAATACGAAATCTATGGATGCCCAATTGAGACTAAATTAGGGATGAACAAAGATAAAGAAAATCGTATTTTAAAGTGAGAGGTATCTTATAATGAGGTGTACATATCTTAAATAGAGGTATTTCTAAGGGTTCCCCACCCAGTAAATAAACAAATTTCAAAAAGCGTCTATTAAATAGAGGTGTATTCAATAATAAAGACATCGCAAAATGAGAGTATCTTATAATGAGCGTATCTTGAACAGAGGTGTTTAAATAGGGGCCAGTATTGCCTGGGGTTCCCCCATTCCTTAATCAACCAAATTTTAAAAAGGTGTCGTTTAAACAGAGGTGTTTCCTATAATAATAAAGACACGCAAAATGAGAGTATCTTATAATTAGCGTATCTTAAACAGAGGTGTTTAAATAGGGGGCAAGCATTGCTTGGGGCTCTCTCCCACCCCTTAGT